AACGTCGTTCATCGCCTTAGTCGGTTTCTCCCGTCGCGCGACAGAGCGACAGCGAAGCGGGTCGCCGTCGCTTGTCTTGTTGCTCGCTAAATCGGTTACATGCGGTTTATACATCATCATAAAAAAAAGGCGATATGAAATTCACTTTGGAGCGTCTTAATTTGTTGAAATGTTGATACGAGGATTGAGCTTCGTTTCACCGGTAAAGTATTCTCAATAAAAAAAAAACATTTTGAGTTTAATAAACCCCGACTTTTATTTCTATAATACCATTTTGGCGTGGACCGAAACTTTCGGCTGCCAGATAAATCGGCTACTTTCAGCCTCTACCCTGTTTCACCTTAAGTGCGAACTCGGCGGACGCTTCGAGCTGATGGGGCCGGACAAACAGCGTCTAAAAAGCGCAAGTCATTGTTTTCGTCATGATTCTGTACGCGTTCTAGCATCGCTTAACCACTCATAAACAAAAAAGGCCCAGTGATTTGAGCTTTTGACGCTGTTTGATTGTTCCCATTGGCTCATAGCCTCGGCCGTGTCTGGACATCAGCTGAAACGAGGTATACGGAAAGAAAGTGTCCCGAAACCCGTGTTTGGCGCACCAGAACGCAAGAAGGGCGCGAAAAATAACGGGCTACATAAAAACAAAAAAAAAGAGAGAAAAAGACACGTGATGACGAGCATCCAAGCGCGTGTTATCATAGGTTGAGTTCGTGCAAGAAACAGCAGCAAGTGGAAGGCATTTGGAGGGTAAACAAACACACGAGGTGCCCAAAGAGTAGACGAACTTGCACACCGTATACACCATGCAATTGGGATCCCAACTCAACCTTGGACCGCGCGTCGAGATTGGGTTGACGTATACTCTCCAGCGAGGACGGTCGCTGCTTGTCGTACAATATTGCCAGGCGTGTCTTGCTAGAGCATACACCGAAAAGTATTTCTAAAACATACATGTGTTGTCTTCGACCGCAAAAGAGCACGAACAATGAAATAAAATTTGTAAACCAGTAAGAAATCAGAACATTATGAAAATATCTAAACTCTCAAAGCGCTTTTCAGAATGCGCCAGAAGCCGCATGGCCAGTGCATCAACGATGGCTGCGATCGCGGCAGCTCCACTTTTCACTACGTGCTGGAACAGAGGTTGCAACCGTCATAAAGTTATATCCCTGTCAGACGGGCTAGTTTAGTGTCACTACAAGCGAGTGCACTTCGCCCTTAGTGTCCTTTCTGTAGTGTGCCACACGGCTGCTTCCTGAGGAACACACTTGGCTTCGAGTGAGTTTGACGAACTCACTTCGCTCGATCGAGTTCGTTGCATCAATAGGAGTGTTTCAACAGTAGAACATAACAACACAGAAACCAAAAGCGTGGCGTAAGTTTTATTTTATAAAGAAAAAGAAATTCGTGAAAGGGATAACATGTAGAAAAATGGCATTGCAAAAAAAAAAAAAAATAGTGGGGTAGACTGATTAGTTAGTTGATTAGATGAGTTTAGACTGATCTGAAGCAAGATTAGCGGAGCGCTGAATTGATAAAAGACGACGACAAAGTCAGTCATTCATGGCTATCTTGGTTAGCAGCGAATGATAGAGCCTACTTTTGTTTCAGCATGTAACTATTCGAGACAACACGATATGATATGATTAGGCAGTGTCAGGGCTTCCTCGTAGACTTTGGTGGAACGAAGCGGAACGCCAAGTTGGATATGCTTCGTTCTTTATCTTGGCTTGCGATGATCGATCAGAATCATCCAATTTGCATAAAAATCGTTTATTAATGTAACGTTGTTTTAGTGCAGAGCTCCTAGGCACCCATTCCTGGGTTGAGCGGCGTCGGCGTAACCGCGCGTTGCATTAAAGGGGCCCTCCGGAGCGTTCTGCGATGGTCTATTAATGGCGGTAACTCAATCTGCAGGCCCTAAGGATCCTAAAAATCATAAAATTACGGTCATGCGCGGCGGATTTCCCTACTAAAATTGCTATCAAAGACCCCGGCACGCCCCCCTTTCTGAGATGACCCCGGAAAACGGGAGGGGCATCTCTTTACGCGTCAGCCAATAGCAAGCGAAGGATCCCGGCGTCATTGCGCGTCACCAACGCCGCCGACTGCCGACCCGCGGAGGAATCTCTCGAACACGCGCGGACCGTCGTCAAGGAACCCGGACTTTGTGCTCGGCAGTCGTCGTTCGTCGCACTGCACCGTCGCGCTGCTACTGCAATACGCAGTCGCATCCCACAGATGACAAGGAAAAGTTTGACTCGTTAAGTGGAAGGATCGCAAAGCTTGCTTCGGAGTCGGGATCCACGGGAAGAAGGAACATGTGTCCCGCAAACGCACGCCTGCAGACGCCCCGGAAAGCAGACGAGCCGACGCGCCGACGCACCACCCCCTAGCAACAAGCTTGCGGGGAGAAAACATAGTTTGCTGGTTTTGGAGCGATAATTGCGGACTGTGTTTCCCGCAGCACAATCAGTTTACGTTTTTCTCAAACTCTAATTTACAACAAGCTTAAAAAGTGTTGCAATAATAACGTTCGCACTCACCGCGGGACGCAGCATTTCCATTGGTCAAGTTTTAGCGATGGGCAGGGAAGGGGGGATTGTCTTCCAAGAGAAAATAGTCCCGATTAATTTTTTCTGCCATCTGCTTAATAAACGGTTTTGTAATCTAAAACTTTGTATACATATTAACTTGCACCTACTACGCGATATAACAATATAAACCGACGATCGCAGAAAGCTCCGGAGGGCCCCTTTAAGGGCTGTTTCCCAAAATGACGTCACACGGGACGTCACGTGGTCGTCACGTGTGACGTCACGAGGGTAACATTTTCACGCTAAATTTTGTGGTAAAAGTTTTTGTTAAGTTTGTCGGAAAATTTTTCCGCTAAATTTAGAGGAAGAAATGTTAGCCGTGTGACGTCACGTGACGTCACATTTAAAAGTTTAGATGACGTGTCATGTGACGTCCCACGTCAATTCAGCGGGAAAATTTCCCAACTAAATTTAGCGAAATTTTTACGCTAAGTGGGATGGGAACAGGAGAGGAGGATGGGAGGGTACGGAGGGGGAGCAGCTGGCATACCCTCCCCTTCGCACCCTTGCTCCCTCCTCAAGAGCTGCAAAAAAAACGTTAATTTTTTAACGTGTCTTTATTAAGGGGTATCGAAGCCTAGTGGGCTAGCGCCCACCTGATCGGAGTACGTGGAGAGAAAGCTCGCGCTCGAGAACCCAGTGATCCTGAGCTCAATCCCCAGCCCTGCTCGAAGAACACACTTCCAATGAAGTGAGTTCGGGGAGCACACTACGCTCGCTCCGGTAGACCAAGTATGTAATATCGATAGCAGTGTTCAAGGAGTAAAAATAATAGAAGAAATTAACGCTGCGTAAAATTAGTATTATTTTGATAGGAGTAATGTTAGATGCGCACTTGTTTTCTGTTGTCAGTAAAGTAGTGCATTGTAGAAAAAAAGCGGCTAATCTAGTTTCCAGCCTTGGCCCCTGCGCGACGGCCAACGACGGCTGCAGGAGGCACCTGCACGACTCCACCAGGAATCTGAAGGTGACAGGAAAGACGCGAAAGGCTTGCTTGAAGTAGAACTCGGCCAAATGGGGCAAGGGACATGTCTTCGAACCACCGTTCGTTCCATTGGAAAGTCCACCGTTCTCGACTGATCACGGGTAGGTTGTCGGTCATGAGAGCGGCTATGGTGAAGGCATTGGCCTGCAGCTGCTGATCGATGTCACTTGAAATTCTTGTCTGTGCGTCGGCATCCAGGTCCAGCTGCCTCTTATCTGAAAGGCGTTGGGCTCCTACGTAGAAAAGTGCCCCAACCATGCGCTTTCACTGTCCAACATCGCGGATAACGCCCTCCAGCTCGTCCTCCACAGACTTCATGATGTTTCATTGTGGCGAGTGGCGAGTGGCCGAGTGGACTCGCGCACACCAGCTCGGAGCACGCGGAGCGAAAGCTCGCGCTGCAGAACCCAGGAATCCTAGGTTCAATCCCTACTTCTGCTCGTTTCGATCTGTACTCCGTTTCACCTTATGTTGTACCGCAGACAAGGCTAGATGCGCGAGCTCATAGCGTTGGGAGATACTCTTAACGCACGAGAGCTTGTGCCGCCTTGATGTGCCCTAGAGCAAGGAGCTCGCGCTTGTAGCCTTTTCTGCGGTACATCATAAGGTGAAACAGAGTATCGTACCGGCGTGCGGACGTGTATCACTGGCTTGTAATGGCTGATCGTAATGATCAAATTGAATTTAAATTTGGATTAAAACTCGTGACTTAGCGCAACAATGTGTGGTAACGTGTTTCTAATAAGGCGACGAGGTTATTTATGAAAAAAATGCGTATGGACTGTAATATGTTGCTTGCCCATTACTTACCCATCGTTATTGCCATCATTTTGGAGTGACACTAAGTTTTCCTGTGTAGCACCAACACACTTGGAGTGTGTTTCGACGGGTTGAAGGGCACTCGCTTGTAGTGACATTAAACTAGCCCGTCTGACAGGGGTATTAGCTCCATCCCTTCAACATGCCCCAATGCTTCAGCATTTGAAGCTATGACTCTGTGTAGGTACCTCCTCCTGCTTCATTAAACAGAAAGTGCGTCTGTAACACTGGCCGTCGGCAGGGCAGCCGCCGCCATCTTCTTTTCGTGCACCATATGACGTGCCCCCAGCACGCCCCAACATGACGGAAACGTTTTGGGGCGCAAGCATCGCACGAAATGGCAGCGACAGGAGCCTTTTCTGCAAACGGGCATAGACTCACTGACAGCTGCAGAAACGCAGGGTGGGGCGAAGTGTGGAGCCTCTTATTACCGCTCTGCAGGCAAAAAATTCTTCCGCGGTAGCCGATAAGTATGCCGAACAACGAACTACAAAGCAAGGAGCGTATACATTAGAAGCCGCGCCCCGCGGTCCTTTTGTTGTTCACGACTACAGCTCCCTCTCAGCTCAGCGGACACTTGCTGGTCCCTCCGCATGCAGGTACTGTCGGTCGGGCAAGTTGTGCCGGGACTGTGAAACACCCACAGAGTGCTACGTTCCCTACGGCAACCAGAGCGACGTCGAAGTGTACGACACCTTCAAGAAGAAGCTGTTCGCCGAGCGGTGGGAGTCTTGCTGCCGGGCCGCCAGGGAGTGCTGCGACGAAATGCTGAGCGGAGATGCGGACGCCACGTCTTCCCCAAGGGGTGAGTCTGACGTAATTTTTTTTCTCGCTCCCTACACAAAAATTTCATATAACTGTTCTCCATCCGGATGATGGGACTAGAAAATTGATTGGATTCTTTCTGGATTTCCAGTTTTCCGAAATTATTCTCTTGTCTGCAATCTGGATTTCAGATTTCCAGGTAGAATTCCCTAAGACTTCCGGTTCCATAATCCAGATAGCGAAAAGTCATAATGGGTTTTGGGGTAGGGCTGTACGCAAAACTAGCACATAAACCCTCTGTTCATGGCCGAGAGGCGAAGCTTGCACGGGATTATTTTTGAAAATGATGTTTTTGAATGTTGATGTGATTTCTGCAATGTTTGGGATTGCCAGAGTGGCGCACATCCGGGATTACGGCTCCTCAGTGAGGATTCTCTCACTCCGTAAACTTAGTATAACAGGTTAAGCGTAAAATGGTATATGGTCTGTAAATTCTGTGTTTCGTTTATTTTTACTTCTTTGCTATAGAATCCCAAACCCAAGCCCTCTCTCGGAAGGTCGCCTACTTTATATTGTATACATTTACTATTCCACCATAAATACACCAATAAAAAAAACAACAACATAATATTTTATTTAAAAATACTGGACGTATTCATTTTATAAGGATTATATAAGTTCCCATATGATCGTATGTTCTTCCATATATTTATTGAACACAATTATATAATTGTTCTAAGATAGATCTACAAATTGGATTTCATTGTATACATGACCTTTTTTCTCCGTACTCACAAATTCTTAGTCTTCAAAAACGAGATACTTTATCCACTTGTTAAATTGAGTATCCGTTATCCGTGCAGTGATTCGTGACTTTGCATCTTTTTTCCCCTTTTTTTTTTTTGTTCTGGCTGCTTCTGTTTAAGTGCGCTTCTTTAGACTTGATGTCGAGTTTGGGTCTTTAAAAAGAATGTATTCCTGGGTTTCCACTGTGCTCTCATCAAAGTAAATTTCAGTAGCGGCTGAGGAATTTTTTCAGCACCAGTAACGTACGAGTTTTTTTTTTATCAGGAAATAGCTTGAAGCGCACGATAAAAATGACAGCATGCCTTGTATAGAGCGGCAATATCCAGGATTATGATCTTATTTGCCTCGGTTTCGCGTATATAAATTGAATTTTTCCTTTTTCCTTCGACCACTGTAAAGTTTCGTTGCGAAATTGATTAATGGAAACATTTTTTTAACTCACTCTTGCACCAATCTATCAAAATACCCCTTTCATGAAGGGTTTGTACCAGAGCCACTCAATGAGCTACGCTTAGAGTATCGGCACTCTGTTCCCCGTGCTTGTTGTGGGCGCCGCCATTTTGGTGCTTAGAGTAGAGCAAACGCAGCAGTCAGTCGTCACAATTGACGAATGCTACTTCCTCAGCTTGAAACTCTTTGGTAGGAAGCTCATGTGATATCGCTTTGCTCTGTCGCGAACTGTTCTAACATTTCTGGAGCACGGAAAAACGTTTCCTGCAATTTCGGATAAAACTTCAGATAACTGGCAACCATGATTTTAAACAGCAAGATGGCTGAAGTGCCGTTACTCTGAAGCACAGCTTATGGAGTGGCTCTAGTTTGCAGCGTACCACAATTCTTTTGTGTTGAGCCTTTTTCTTTTGTGTGTGCGTGTCAGAAATATTCACAAACAGAGGTAATCGCAGAAGAAAACAAAAAAAAAAACAAAACAAAGCTGAGTGGACTGAAACAAAAAGTCACTGAGTGTGTCTTTTTTTAAATTTATTTACTCTCTCATATCGTACTCCGTTTAACCTTAAGTCGAGCGTAGCCGACACTATGCCATTCGATGGAGCCAACCAAGTAGCTTCAGAATGGACGTCTCACGACGCTCCCCGTCTTCGTACTTTTTCTATCACCGATTAAGCCGACCACTCAGACTGAAGGCTCTATTATCTTGTACTTTATTGTTTTGTGCATGACTCGGTTTAGTTTAGAGTTGGCTGCGATCCAACGTAATATGAAACGGAGCGTAGATACACATATCAGTGTAACTGTAAAGTGGGATCATCTGGATTAAACCACACACTCTACAAAATCAAGAGTGTTAGGGAACCGTTTTTGCACATGCTGTAGGGTACGACGTAGTTTCTGGTACGAACTGCGCATGCGCGACCACAGAAAACTCGCACATGCGCAATTCGTACCGGAGGGCCTATCGTACCATATCGGATATGTGCCAAAACGGTTTCCCAAAATTCTCTCTAATGCCAATGACCATTCACGTGTTACTTGCCCGCATATTTCGAATATGTATATGCTCCGTGTGGCGAGAGTCAGAAAATGGCAATCACAAAATAGTAATAACCAATGTCGAAATTGCAGCTTGGGCGCAGTGGATTTAATAATTGTCATTACTGGAACGCAATTACCGCGGCAGTCGAAACGAACAGCTAAACAAAATTGTCCAGGTCCCCTGACATGTACTACTCCCAATCATACGAGAGTGGGAGAAAGCGAGAACCGTTTCATCGATCTAAACACGAATTGGCGCATACCGCTAACCTGAGCGGAAGAAAAGTGACGATAAGATTTCTATTTCAATGGTGTCCCTAATATTTTACTTTCAAACAACTACATTAATGCGGAAAATCTGCTACAACAGCGGGTGATAAGTACGGTCGAAACCGCGAAGAAAGCACGCGCGACGTTTTGTTTGACCCGAAGATGAAGATAATAATGAACGCTTGCACGTTGTCTCCAGCGTGCGATTGTTATCATGTATCTGGTTCCTTCTTTTGGGATAGAGTCCACAAGATCAGCATTACGTTTTCTTTAGGAAGAAGCCGTTAGCTTTTTGTTTAATATCAATAACCGGCTCTGCAATTCAATATACTTTTAAGGAAACCCGTTTTCGCGATGACTGGACGCAGAGCGTATCAAACTTGAATAACGCGCTGCGTTGTTCACGGGGATACACGATTGCCCTTTTGGCTCGACTGCAGAATTTGACAAAAAAAAACAACCTTTTCAATTGTTTTTCTTGCGTAAGAATAAATACAGACGTTTTCTGAATTTTTTTTAACAGATTCCAATTATCGGAACTTACGAGCTGAGGCGTAACTTGCTTTATAAAGGGGGAAAGGTTTTATATAGTGGTGACTGAAATTATGACTAATCATGATGACAATAATGTGGTGACGGTTAGATGCGTTAGAAGTCTTTACTAAATAATAACATTAGACAATGAGACGCAGGCACAAGGCTACGGCCGGTTGCGTTTATTCCTTTTATTTTAGTGAGAATGCACGCGTTAGTGTAGTTCCGAACACAACTCTACTGCCGCCAAGTATACTGAGGTATTTTGATTCAGGCTAAAGCACTATTTGCACATAAGTTAGCCTTTCCTAGATCTAAATTATTGTACATTAATACAACGGATGTTGTTTCTAGCGGATATTTTTGATAGGTTTATGACTACCGAAAACAAACGCTTAGAAAGTCGTTCAACAGGTCTTGAGATGCAGAAATTGTAAGTTGAAACTTACAATTCTATAACTATTCTATAGCAATTACTATCGGCGCATATTAATATCGATTTCAACATATATATGCATTGCATTGCGAGTTGGCGCTTTCAATATTTCTATTTTGTTTAATGTAATGAGTATATGCCGACATTCAGAAAAGTTTTCCTTATATCTTTGAACTTTGAAATTATAAGAAAGTATGCCAGTCCAGACAAAAGTAAAAACCAGATATGCAAAAAAAAAGAAAAAAAAAAGAAAACAGCGAGCAAATATTGTAATCACTTGGTACCTTTCGACAACTTATATTAGTTTTTTTCTTTTTTTTTAGGGGGGGGGGGGGCGATTGACGCGAGTAAAAAATAGTTTGGAAAGAATACAATGAAGTAGGTTTATCTATCTGTACATCATGAAAGTATTGAAATACGAACATTTGCTGATAATATGAACCGCTCAATATCTTGATCATCTCACGTTTGGATGTGGCTGGATTGCCATTGACCTGGTTTTCATAATAATACGATATATTTTTTCACATTATACGTGCCTTTGGTGTTCTCCATAAATTAGACCTAAAAAAAAAAAGTTCTGAACTGATTTACACACCACGCTCCTACATTACGTCGACTCGTCCACGGCACACACTTAAGCTGGCCCTACCAACAAAGGAATGGACTAGCTAGCTCAAAGTAAGCTAAAACTTAACTTTAACAATGTCTGATTTGTACTCTTAACTCAGTCCACTTTCCTTGCAAAACGACTGAATAAGGATGCTCTTCCAACCGAGCTCATGTGTCGATGCCCATATACGTATGCGCTTAATGCACCCTGGGTATATACTCGTCACCGATGTTTCCACATGTTTCCATGGACAGAAAGGAAGACACAGACCCAGCACTTATCACACCTGGCGAACGAATGCGCGCTCTAGAACAGCGCAAATATCCACTTATTTTTTTTTTTTTTTGCAGTTCTTGGCACTTCAGAAATGTAAAAACATATACGCGTATTGTGCCCTTCTGAGGTCCGTAGAAATGTCACTGGTCGATTTTAGACCACATCAGAGTCTGACTGAATCCTCCTTGCGAGGGCTGCCTTTTTACTGCGTTTATCGTCGACATGATCAGCGAGAATGTCGCGATGTAAATTTAACTGTGGAATTGACGCAGAAGAGTATAACAAAACAAAAACGTGGCATCTCTGTCGAACCAGCATCATCGATAACGTTCTACATTACGTACAGGTTGGAGATACTCGGTATTATCATATATGTGAACTAACAGAGCGTGCAACTTCGGCAGTTCATTGAGTCTGACCCTGACTCTCGGGCTTCCCCGCATAAGCGGTAATGTCGCGGGAAAGCCAATTTTACGCAAGAGTACGCTGCAGCCATCAGCTAGCTACTAAGGGGAAAAAAATAAATAAAATAAAGGTTTTTCTTTGTAAGTTCGTGACATGTTGATCTCTTTTTCTTGCGCGCAAACTTTTTAACCAGTATTTCATTCGTAGTTCGTTCATCGTTCGTGTCCGGTGCTTCAGACAATATTCTGCAATAACGACCAATAAATATCCCCCCCCCCCCCCCGCGATGCATATTTCCAGTTCACGTACCTGCGCGCTATCGGTCGAGCCTTTTTGCCGTTGGCCATGCTAAGAGAAGCTGGTGATTTCAGCTTTATTTATTTATTCAATTTTAACTTTTCCTCTCTTCTTAAGTGAAAATGCCTTCATCTTAAGCAAATAAGACTACGCCAAAGCTGATTACGCATCGATTAACGCTGAATTACAAGAATGTTATGCGTAACTCAAGAAATGTTCTTATGGTCGAACACTTGAAGAAACTTGGATCCCACTTAAAAATAAGTAATGCTTCCCAGCCTACAAATACGTGCCTTTGGTGTATGTTAAAGCGGACGGGCACCACCCCCAGTATATCGATTAATCGGATCGGCAACAAAAAAATAGGTTATCTAAGCATGCTAAACTATCGCCCTCCATAAGGACTTATGGAATAAATTTCAAGGATACGAAAAACTATATAGAAATAAAATTCCAAACGCTAAATTTAAATTTTATGAAAGGGACCTAGTTAGAGTGTTATCCAACGAACCCAAACGGTTCTGGAATATAATCAATCCCAAGCTTTTGCTTCCCTGGCTCTGATAGATAACAGCGGGATGGCTTGGCTGATAAACAGTGAGCTGATTGCCGAAATAACCATTTTACATTTTACTTTTGTACTTATCGACGAAAACCTTCGCTATAATCCGAAGGTCCCATTCTGGAGCCCCCCCCACTCTTCACACACATACACACATACTTAAAACCGATTAGTATAAACTCCTGTGGTGCTTTAAAAGCCATCGAAAATCAGAAAAACGCTTTAACTACCAGAGAAAACCTAATAAACTCTAAAATAGTAAAAAAACATCGAGGGACTTATTACATCTGTTTCTATCCACTATCTTTTTTTTTATTTCTTTTTAATCTCTTGCTCCCGGTCACATTTCCGATGATTGGAAAATCGACCTTGTCATCCCTATACAAAACTCTGGTGATCGAAACTCGCCTCGTAATTATCGTCCATCACCACTTACTAATATATATTCCACCAAAAACGATTGAAGATAAAATATTTTCAAATGTAATAAAATATATTGAGTCTTGTAATCTACTAAACGGTAATCACCATGGATTCATGAAAGAACTATCGTGTAAAACTATAAGCGCCTTGAATTCGTACATAGCATTTCTTCTAACCTTGAACAGAAAGAAAAAAAAAAGACGAGCGGACGCCATATTGTGCATAGGTCATGTGACGTCGATTCTTCCTCAAAATTTAGCGGGGAAAGTAAATATTTTTTGTTGGTCCCGTGACGTCAGGTTCCATTGCATCAAATTTCCTGCTACATTTACAGGGGAAAATTAATCAGTGTATACGTCATGTGACGTCAACTTTTCCGCTAAATTTGACGGGCAAACAGCGCATTAGGAGGCAGGAAAGGTCCACGAAATGGGGGGCGGATAGCTGAAAAATGCTATCGCATTAAAAAAGGTACAAGCATTAGGCAATGAGACAGGCACAGAAAGCACGAAGGCTGATTACATGTAGTGTAGAATGTCAGCGTTTGGGAACGTAACAAGGCCTTACGTGTGTGGTATGGTTCCTTGTACGCGTCCCTGACTGGACTGCGTAGAGTCTTAATGCCGCCTGGGCATCGAAATGGGTTCCTAAGTGGCGATAAATGATGTCACAGGAGCCAGCGTATCAAATTGTCGAATGTCGTGATCCTGTCCATCGGTCGCGGAGGTTTCGGCAAAAAGTGCGAGCGAGCGAACGCCAGTGTCGCCATCGTCGCTGCATCCAAACACCTGGTTGCTCAAGCTGCTTTTGACTGTCAAACTATGAAGCGACCTTCAGCAGGACATTACAAAATTTGTGGTCACACAAGCCATGTTCAGGACATCTTAAAAATATGAAATACGTATCTTTCGTTCGCAGAGGGGCTATACTGTCCGGCTACTTGGGACGGCTGGACCTGCTACAAGGACACGCCGGCTGGAATGACAGTGCAGAAACCTTGCCCTTTCCACGCATACTACATCACTGAGAAGCCTCAATGCATCAGTAAGTTATATGCCACCTCAAAGCATGGGTGCTTGTGCCAATGTTGATAAACTAAAAGCAAATAACCTGAAATTTTCTGGCCTCACTAAGATCGGAATATCTTCTAAGTAGTCAATCAAGCTTTAATGAATGCCATCATTTATAAGAGTTTATAATATATTGTTTTAGTGAAGGCACCCATGTTGTGCGGATCAAAGCAACTTTGGATATTCTCTAATCAGGAAGACGGTAAGAGGTGATTAAGGTTGTTCGAGGATGAATGTCAAGAAAACCCTTAGAAAGCGTCCGACAAAGTATGGTATTACATAATGAGTGTCCATAACCTTGTCCGCGGCATGTGCACAGAAGCCTCAGAATGAAGATAATTTTTATCGTGTTTGACGGCTTTCTGAAACGGATTTCCCTCCCATTATCGACTTTGCTTGCCATGTGATTTTTTTTTTCATGGAAGTTTTGTGTTTATTTATGAGTGAGTTGTTGAGTGGAAGAATCAATTGTTTAAATATGACAGAAAAAGACTTCTCTAGCTTTCACTGATATTCAGGGCATGAAGATAAACCTGCATTAAACCATATTCGTACTATGTGGGGGGTAAAGGTTTACGTGGTATTTTCAAAAAAAAAAAAAAAATACCGGGCTTACAGCATATAAAAAAAATAATTCTGAAGACAACCTGTAGAGATGAGTAATACATTAAACCTTAGCGTGACTAATTTCGCTTCTTATTATAGTGCCATTAATGCAAAGGTGCAAGCGAGCTGGACAAGAATGACAATATTAATCCCTGCAGAAGGGGAAAAAGGGGAACAAAGGATAAACACAAATCTCCAAACGCACGTCCCCTAACTGGGCTTGAGATTTGTGTTTGTCCTTTGTCCCCTTTGTTCCCCTCCTCCAAAGGTTAATATTGTAATTGTTTCCTAAATATACTCTTAGTAATTAAATTTTTTCATGTGTTAATGGCCCTCATATAACGTATGTTCAATTCACTGTAACACCTCTTATTGAATGTAATAAATAAACTTAAGCTTTGTTTCTTATGTTTAGAAGGACCAGAGCACATAGAACATTACTGTAGAATAGACATTAAATATGTGAAGCATAAAAGACATAATGAGATCGGGTATACGAGTTGAAACGTTTTTGCTTTTGATCACCTTCCATTCATTATCTTTACTAATGCAGCCAGCCTCTTTGAAGTCCAAGTTGTTTGAACTTCAATCCAAGACCTCAGGTGGAGCTTCCGTATATTAAATAGGGGGGAAACATAAGATGAAAGTGGCAGGATTATAAGCCATTTCGAAGCAACACCGCCTTTTTCACATGAATTGGCCATTAGTTACCTTAAACTTGAAGGCACTCGTCTATTCGACATCAGCGTATAGCTAAAACAGCCTACCATATTAAAATAAACATATAAGTTAATCTTTAATCCCTCAATGAATCATATTATCATAAATATGACACAAATGAAAAAAAAAAGAGTTTCTCAACTGAAGGAATACGTGCAATATAACTACTTTCAGCATTTATTAGTTGTTTTTTTTAATTCTGGTTTTAATTGATTTTATTAACGTCGGGTAAAATGTACACCCCATAAACGAGCACTTTTGGCCTCGGATATTATGCAGTTATTGAGCCGAGTTAAAAAAAAACAATATTTCCCTTCGCTATTTCTTTTCCAACCGGTTCCGGCAATACAAATATTATTTCCGGCGTCGTTGTTTATTCTTCCGAAACCCGTAAAACTATAAAAAAGGACTACTTCAATCTGATCCTTTAACGGAAAGAAAAACTGGAAAGTGCGAGACTGTTTGTTCAGGCGGCTCTGTAAAAAAAACACACAAAAACAAAGAACAGCAACAAACGCTTAGGAAAACAAAATATCCCGATCCTCCAACCGTCGAATGTCCCAGTTGGGTCCATTAGATGTCTGTTTACACTGGATACCTAGTTTTATTTCGAGAAATCCATTATACGTCGCTTCCACCGGCAAAAAGGACGGCTCAGTGACTTCGCAAGTCCGCCGGCCATGCTCTGAATTCAAAGGAGCAACTCCTTGGTCTGGAAATCGTCCTTGGGAAGGGCGCCGGGGGAGGTGGTGGAGGGGGAAGGAGGAGAGGAGAGAAAGGAGAAGAAGAAACAGCAAACTACAACGTAAGGAGGTATAGGGAAGCTCTTGTTTGCGGCGCGTTGTTTTCTGAGAAAATCCTTTCTTGTTTCGTGCTTTGATTAGGGAGGTTGTAGAATCGATTGGGCGAACGTTCAAGCCCCGAGGTGGGCCGGTAAGCCACCGCTGAGTGACAATTACCTGGGGCAAAGTGATGTTTTACTGTCAGCAATTTGGGACAAGTACCCTAGAGAGTATTCTCTTTTATTCTTTTTAGTTTGCGTTATGCATGAAGTTTGTCGCTGTTTCCGTCGGTTCCATTGCGCAGTAAGGTTACCCGCCTTTGGGATTAGCGGCGCGGATTCGAACACGATAATTAGGTTAGATACGTGCTGACAAATAACTCGTTTTACACGCAGTGTTAGATTTTCCTCGCAAAGTTTGTACGAAAGTATTCTGACACTTTTAAGTATAAAAAATTGCAACACTTTCGTCACTCGAAGTTTTTTTTTTTTTTACATGTCGTTATAGGCGCCGGCAACTTAATAAATGCTGGGCGTGGCTTTTAATAGTCAGATGCCTCCTTTCCCGTTTCGCTCCTTGGCATTCTCATCAACTAATGCCATAGTCTCATTGGCTGCCGAGTGATTGTCAGATGAACACGACTCGCCGCATTCAAATTAACGGCGAATGAGTCTCCAGTTGGCCGAGTTAAGCTCCTAGCCCAAATTTCGGAAAACGGACAACGGTTTATTACAGCGCAGGTACCGCGTAAATGAGGCTTTCTGCAGCACCTTAAAGATCCACCGGTTCTCTGGGGGAATCCCGAGTCCTTCGGTTGAGGTACGTTTGGCTATCAGGTTGCCAAACCGATTTCTTTACTTTTAAACGAGTACCCGCTGACAGGTGTCGGGACAAACCTCTCGCTTCGTCGAGTAAGCTCGTTTTCCCTTTTCCTGATGGCACTCAAGGCCACCAGGAATGCCACCACCTTCAAATCTATAGCGACGAGCGAGAGTAGAAGTATATTCTTTCATTCCATTGGCAGTAGTTTGATTCTTCATTACTTTGATTTGGGTTCCACCGTTTCTGAAAGCTGTGATTACAGTGATTTATACCCCCTCATTCCCAATATGATAAAAAAATGCAAATCCCATAGCATGCCCCACACCCCTACTCGCAAAGCCCCTCCCGGCTATTTGTCACGCCCCCCAAATTTTAAATCCTGGATAAACACACCTTATTACCTTGCCTCTAGATGATCCTTCTTTCGTGATGCGCCTAAGGTTTGGCTTAGGAAAGGAGATGTTGCATGCACGGCTAACTAGATCTATACCGGACAAACGTTGGTACGGCAGTTTCTAGGTGTCTTAGAATGCAGTGATATGTGTTCATTGGTTTCGCATATTCTGTAGGGTCCCTCTTGTTTTCCGCCTCTCAGATAGCATTGCAGGCGACGTCACTCTTTATCCTACTATACATTTTGAGCATGAGTGTCCACAAAAAAGATAAAATGAACTTAAAAATTCGCAAAAAAAAAAGTTCACGAAAATGTTGATTTAAAATATCTTCTTTTTTTCCCCCTTCGAACAATGGAGCTTCAGCATAAACTGTAATCCTACTGGTCTAATTATTTTACGCCCTCATATCTCCAGCAAAGAGGTTTTTTTGCTTTATTCTTGTGTTCAGAGTATTTGTTTTCTTCAGAGTAATATGGACGCAGAATCTGAATCTAGCGGTGTTTCAACTTGCGAGTCCAAGAGGCTCGTTATTTCAGCTTCCAACTCTTGCAGTCCAAATCAGCTATCAAAATTCAATATCCTTTTCCCTCGCGCCTTTACATATATTAGGGATTAAAAGACCGCAATTTCTAAATTGGGAATAAGTCGTTGTTTTGAGGCTCTAGAGAGAAAACCTATAATGAACCGCAATCGGTTTTTTGTTGTTGTTGTTTTCGCGGTTAATACTCAGGAAGTCCACGCAGACCTTCTCTTACCATTTATTTCTCCAGGTTTTGCATCAAGGTTCTCATTACCCTGGGTGGTTTTGTTATTGTGATTAGGCTCAAGCAAGAGGTGGTTCAAAAAAGCTATTAGTGTTTGTGGTTTTCCCGTATGTTCTGCGTGATCCTATACTTCTCGTGCGCTGATTTATGCATGCCCCGCAAAAAGGGTGGCCCCATTTGAGAGTATATCCTTTTTTAAAGACGCTAATATGGAGCTGTGTAAATAGATTGGCTGGCCGTAAAACTATCCGGAAAAATTGGCGCACGCACGCCGGGAGATTACGCTTTTGATCAAAGGTGCATTTTAGTGTAGGATTCCACCTTATGTAATTTTAAGGCGTGCTTCAAGAAAACTGCGCCACTAAACTACGGCTTTGACAAAACTTTTAGCTCTCTAGGTTCAGACGTCCACTTTTCGGGTTCGTTTTACGGCCAGCATTTATTTTTATTCCCCCTTACACGTATAAATAATTCAAAATATGTATGAGATCACTGAAGTTTGGAAATAGGGCAGTAATGAATCTAACAAATACACTTTTCACGGTCTTGGTTTAGCTCTTCAGAAAAGGAACGGGAACATGGGATCACCCTTGACTTCCGCTACCGATGTGAATAAACTATGAGCTGAAAATAAAGGCCCTAATTGCACCCATAAGCTCAGTCTACACTGGAAAGGGCAGAAGAAATTGGCATGCATGTCAATTAATCGTTAAATCCTATTATTTCTAAATTGTAGTAATTAGTTCTCCAGCGCTTACTGCTCCAAGATAAACAAAAACAATTAAGAGGACGAAAATATTAGCTTAGTATAACGTAAAAATATAATCTAAGAAAATAGAAACCTCACCTTAACTTTCACGTTTATTCGAAAAAAATGACTGAATAATGTATATACAATAAAAGCTCCCGCAAATCAGTTGGGATACCAACTCGCTGCATTAGAAAAAATGGTCTTAGGAAATGACAAGTCGAAAAGTATGTTTAAATTTAGAAGAAAAGCAAGTATGTGCTAGCATGACAGAAGTACGCAAAACATTATGTTCAGTGGCACAGCACAGAAAGTCTTTTTTTTTTTAAGACTTAGACATATTTTCAATGTAATCATTTGGCATGCTCCCTCCATAAAATGCAGAGATCGAATCTCCCACGTCGTTTGTAGGAAAGTAGGTATTCCAGATTTTTATTTAGGGTGACGTCCCTCAGGGATATTATGGTGCATTATTTATTTTTGTCAAATGCTTCATTGCAGAGATGTCGAAAAAAATTTGTTGGGAGAACGGAACTTGGTACTACAACCAGGAGTTCGGAAAGGAGTTCACGTTTTACGACTGCGGCTCCCTTGAGGTAGAGAGGTTTTTAATGGTTGTATAGCGTGTATACAAGTAACGTTTAACTTGTAATTCTATCCCAATTCATGTTATTTTCTACGCAGTACCACCGTTCTATGACCGTGTTCTCCATCGTACTCCATTCTCTCTCCGTGATAGTGCTGGTGCCCGCTATCGTCATCTTCTCCGTATACAAGTGGGTATACATTTCTATATTTTTTCCTAATGTTGTTGCTAGAATGTACTTTTTTGTGGAGCGGAATAGTTAGGTCACATATAAATTGACGATTTTTTTCCTTTTATTTTCATAGTTCAGCCGGTAGAGAGTCAAATATTAGCGTATATAGTGTCGCCTGCAATTTAAGACAAAAAAAAACAACCTTTAAATTGATTTGAGCAAACGGGTCGCATAATTGAACGTTTTTTGGGGGGCAAATTGTCTCATGCTATTATTAGTGTTACTAAAGAAGTAGTGTATATAATCGCTTTACTATGAAGCCAGGTCGAAATTTTGTCATAAAACAGTCAAGCGTTTTTGTAACCACTGAAAACTTGCAGAATAAAACAGATCCCAATTGCATTTAAATGAAATGAAATGAAATGAGAACTTCTTAATTTTGATAATTTCATGGACACAATCACAACCGCAATTTCCTCAATAGTTGGTATTAGTGTATTACACGGCGGTTCAAAATCTTTCAGACACCACTGGAAGGCAAACATTCCTTTATGATCTAAGCCCACGTGTTTGAATTCCGTTTGCCTATCGACACTGTTTTAGAGGGTGCACTAATATCGAGACCTGCATTTTCGCTGAGCTTTGTGCCGGCTGTGACTACAAGATAACTGGGACTGTTTTAAATTGTTTTAATTAATCAGTAAATAACAGAATATTCTAAAGAGATGATTTTCATCTTGTTCCACGTATTCAGACGTGTTTTCGTGCGTTACCGAAGAAAGCGGTGCCTCCTGTAAAAGACAGAACAACACTAAAACAAATAGAGGACACAAGGCACACGCACACGGCGCTTGTATGAGCACTCTTCTGCTTGTGTCCTTCGAATATTTTAGTACAATAATGCCTTTCATAAGATGTGTACGAACTTACCTAACTTAATACATTGCTGCATTTGTTTATCTTGTCCGTTACATCATATCTTTTTTCATGTTTTCTTGTATCAGTGCCCCTCCAGTGCGCTGTTCCTTGCGCCCTTTATATATATTTTCAGCTGGTTTGCCTTTTTTAAAGTATGTATCAACTAGCCCAATTTAGTGCTATGCTAATGCAGTGCCCTCTTCTTGTCTTTCGAAACATCTCAACCGATGTTTTGATTATAAGTACGCCACACGTAACTTGAGATGTAATTTCCCTGAGGAGTAGAACAGCGCACTCGGGTATCGCCTAGGTGTTATAAACATTTTACGCAAGCAAACGTACCTCTAGGGTGCTATCTACCGGAAGAAAATGTTTTCTGGTCAAATGCTTGGATTGTCGAACCTCAACCACGATCGCTTGCAGGCAGCTTCAGGTGCATCGAATATCGCTGCACAAGAATTTCTGCGTGGCCATGGTTCTATACGACATCAGCGTCATCCTTGTCGACTCGCTTTTCATCCTTGACCACGTCAACGAGGAAAAAAATATCAGAGTTCACCAAAGTCCGGTAAGTCAACTAAAAACTACAGCAACAATATTGAAGCAACTTTACGACGGTTTAGTTTTGTAAACATAAACCGCACAATATGCTTCCAATAAGCAATCAATACTCTAAAAATGAGCAAAAGTACGAATGAAGGTATGGCTTCAAAATATATTTTTACAGCATGCACCTAATACTACACGATGAACTGTATCGCCTATCATTAACATATCAAATCCTGACAGTGTATTTGTGGTCAACAGACCACGATTCGCCCATAAACATTTGCTAGCTTGAAGGCTCTATATTAAACGCCTCATCTGTTTGTGTTTTCCCATGCGTATTATCTGCGTATCATTTGTATTCTCACATATAGTTCGACTGGTCGCCGTTACATTTAATCGTTCGCCCTGATAACAAACAAGTCACGCTGAAGATTTCAGTGTCGAAACGTTTTTTTTTGCACATTTTCAAATGAAACATTCAGAAATGATCTTCGTTCAGCACCGCCTTCCGAATGAACCTTTTAAATGAAGGCGACACGAAACGGCAGAAGCTCGAAGTGCGCTTGGCGTCCGGACAAGAAGTTACCCTACCTTTCCAGTCACGGAGGAGGAGGCAGAGGAAAAGTAACTCCCCTTCTGAACCCCAACCGTAGTTTGAGTTTTCGCCACTGCGTGAGAAGGGCCTACGCATGGTCAAAACTATATAGGAAAAGCTCCAATTTGGCGATAGTTTGGTCGTTTCACAAAGTGAAGCAAAACATTTGAAACTCTCGCAGTATATGTGCCATACGCATTACATGGTGACGTTGCGGAAGGACAGAAAAAGATCGCACGAAATATTAGCTCTCTCATTTATCTACGTACCTTTGCTGAAATGCTAAGGCTAAGATGATTTGCCATCTCTGTTTGTTGCAGGACCTGTGCAAGGTTCTTTACACACTGTCCCGATACTTCCGTTTGTGCCAGTATGCATGGATGTTTTGCGAGGGATTCTACCTCCACAAGCTGATTGCTTCCGCCTTCGCCGAGCAGAAATCCTTGCTCATTTTCTACGTAGTCGGATGGGGTGAGTCAAAGTTTGGATTGTGAAGTCTGCGAGAAGGATGAGTTGTTCACCGACATCTTCAAAGGAGCAAGGCGTGGTCTCTTATTCACAGATCTCTTGCTTCGTGTTTCTTTCTTCTACTGTCTTATGCGCACCGCAAGTTCATCTGCTTCTTGAGCAGGGGATGCGGTGACATCGGAACGCCGAGCTCTGGTTGACTCCGATTGCGAGAATAATGGGTAGACCTTAAGGCAGCTAGCATTGAGGTCTACCAACTTTTCCTCCATCAGAGCCGATCAGGGCTCGGCGTTCTGACATCACTGCAGACCCTGCGCAAGAAGCAGCCGAACTTGCGCTCCGTGTATACGCTAGTGACGCATTCTCATTGCCAATGGAGCAATAATAAAATGCCAGCGACACGCTACGGCTCGTTTTTAGTAAGTATTCAGTGACTATTGTATCGAAGTACTGATCATTCAGTGATACCTAAGATAATAAGAGATGTTGGGTAGAGTTCGGTTTAATTTATTTTCATTTCCACGTTTTTGTTCATATCTCAAATGACGAAGTATGACATATATGCATGTACTGTAAATGTCACTCTTCTGACGACTTAGTGTTCTTGGCGGTTGAGAGCTAAAAGTGGCGGCTCCGCCGACGCTAACGCTCAGCTAACGTCAAAGCCGGTCTCTCTTGTAATAATTTGCCGTTGCAGGTGTGTTTTTGCTTGTTGGCACGCGCCAACTAAGTGCTATCATCTGATTCTTTGATCCCTGGTAAAGTCGTTAGCTCACCCTCAGAGGCCTGAAAGTCCAGACATGCTTATACAGCTCCACAGACAAGCCCGGGGCGTACAACAATTAGCCTTGGCGTTAATCCTCATCGGAGATGCATGCTGTATTACAAATTGGGCCAACGTTTCACGCCACGGCGTTTGTTTCGGACTAACGTGACGCTTCTGTTTACCGGACAGGGCTCTGACAATGTTTGTTTTTGTTTTCTGTGCTGCAGGTTGTCCCGCTATATTTGTGACCATCAGCGCTGTTCTGAGGGCCATGCGTTTGGGGCACCCGTAAGTTTACACTACTTTATTTATTTTATTTATTACTTAATACAGCAGACTCCGTTAGTGCCCCAGTAAGAGTGGATGCAGAGTACAATTTGAAAGAAATATTCGCTCCCGTGAATATTTCTAGGAAACCCGCGTTTTCTTTTTTTTTCTTTTTTAACCTGCAGCGATGTTCGATGGCATGTGTGGGTCTACCTATGACGTCGTGTTTGTGGCTGCACCTGTTTAGGATATCCCAACTCATGATGTGTATGAATTGTGATATTAATTGAAAAAAAATAAAAGCGATGCAACTATAGCCCATTTATTTAAAGGTCAGTAGAAACTAGTTACCTCTGTTTTGACTAATTTCCATTGCTTTCCATCTCGCAAGGGTTTGATCCCCTCCCGCGCGAGGGAAGAGCACGTAGAATCATGTTTTCTTCTCTTAGTTCCTTTTCTCCTCCGTTACATTTACGGAGTTTGTACGTGTGCATTCTAGAACTTTCACTGCTCATTGCTCCTCCCCCGGATTAAGTAGGTGCATGTTATTGTCTCCCACCGTATGAAAGACCCACTCGCCTAGGCAGTCGACGCGGCGGTGCTGAGCACGTTTTGTCCAAAGGAACTTCATTTTTAGGGAGAGAATAAAAGAAAGGTTAATATATGTCCTCAACCCTAGCAAAGTAGGCCTGCCGTCAGCAAACTGGGAACAGCCGCCTGAAACTGCCTCGTCGAATGGGCCTTTCTTATTGATGTGTACTGTACACTTCACTTGGTCTAAGACGTGGGCGCTTTGTTAGTTATACTCCACCATTATGTGTGGTGTGCGTTTTCTTTTTGTGCACTGAAGTTTTTTTTATGATATGAATTACACTTCTGACGCGGTATCAGAGATTTATGCATGATATTCGTACTATCACTCTGTTCTCAGTGCTTTTCTGGTGTAAAGTCGGATATTTTCTACTTCATTTTCTTATCAGGCCGTTAATTTGAGTACCCGAAATGCGCTGTTATATACTTACGCTGCTTCAGCACTTTAGACTAATTAAACTCGACAAAATTTAACTGGAATTTAATCTCGAAACCAATGTGAATGTGTCAACTCTTTTCTTTTGATTCACGTGGCATACCAAGCTGTCTGTGTTGTTTCAAGCACGACAAAAATACACATATAACTTCACTACTCATCGCTTTAAAGATGTATTCCCACGGAGCACTTACTCCGGAACAAGTTCTTACGAAATCGGTGACGTAACCCTTCTTGCGTCTGGAAATCCCTCATGTTCCAGGCGAAAAAAAGTATGCAAAACGCAAGAACTCGTTCGCAGACCACAGGAACGTATCCGGGGACGAGTCCGCTGACCAGAGGAATTTTGTGTATCACGTGGGCAAGCGTCATGACATATGTTCGCCGACCTGTCGTAGCAGGGTTTTCTTCCATTTTAAACAGATTACATCTTCGCTTTTTCCTGGTCGGCCGATGTCCGTGCCAGGTCCGCGGAGTCGGCTAGATTGGGAAGAACCACTCACACCAAACCGCTCGCGCAACAACTCGCTGCACGAGCCGTCTTTTTTCTTACCTTTTTTTGCGTTTGTTTACAAGACATTTGCTTGGCCGTGTTCTTTGCAACGGTTCACGCTAGTTGACAGCTCATTGAACCGAATCGAATATGTTTATATGTTATTTCTTGTAATTCCCCTATAGGCCTCTGCCGAATCCAAAGAAACTTTAAAAATGACAGTGTTTTACGGTTTTTTTATTGCAAAATTCGTATGCAGTTAACATTCCAGACAAGACCCCACTTTGACAAAAACAATATAATTTCAGAATGTATTGAATATACGGGGCAAAATTAGTTTTCTAAAAGCCCCAAGTTATATGATAACACATACGTATGCAAGGCCATTGCCAGATGTATAAAGGGGCACCAATACCACAACGCGGAATCGTGGAGTCATTAACCCCGTAAGTGTGACGTCACTGCTCCAAGCAAACCGTTGCTAGGGGCGTTGCCACGAACGAATACACGGGACAGGATTTCGCTGCAAAAGAACCTTCGTTCAAAAATTGGATGTGGAATTTAAGAGTCTAAAAAGAGCAGATAGAGGAAGCCAAGATTTTGCACTTACCGCGACAAAACAGTTTGACAAAAATCGGCTGTTTCTGAAATACTTGCGACGTCAACTGCCGGTCTTCGAGACGTCTCCAGATTCCTGCTGCAGACAAGGAGCGCATGACAAACGCACGCGGAATGACTCAAGCATCTGTAACAGTTTGAATCGTTTGCATAATTATAGATTTTTTCTTGTATTTATTTGGAGCATGCAGGTCGAAGAAAACTCATCAGGTTTATAAAGAGGAATTACATTTGCGTGCGATACGGGACACTGTCTGACGAAAATCCTCACACGTATGGAGATCTGCTAAATATACAGCGGGAGAAGCATCTGTTTAGAACGTGCTGTCAGAGCAGCGTCAGACCCACTTTTAGATTTTTCAGTTGACGTGCATTGTAATGTAGGACCAATTATTTCCACTCTAGCATCCACGGTTCGAGACCACAAACTTCATTTTTCAGGCTCTCCATATTCGTGTGTGTTTCGTACCCGCTTGTAAACATCACACTGAGAAAAAATCCCGCTGATTCTTCCGTTTTCAATAAGACTCGAAATGGCGGAAGAGTTAAATAATAACATCGGGTAAGTTATTGATCACGCAAAAGTGGGCTGAAGCAAGATCTGTGCCTCCAGAACTCATTGAAGCGTGTGCTGGCCTGTACTTCGACGTTAATACACTTCACATCGTTGTCGTATGTTATTCAGCTTCACGGAATTTTCAGCCTTCTCAAATATTACTGAAGGCCTCACGGGCAAGCGTTGGCGCGTTCGCGCGCACCTTTAGCGTCGATGAAAGCTTTGCACGGGCATTCTTCGCTTCCGAAATACAACAGAAAGTTAAGAAGTTTGGTCCTTCGTCACCAACTTAATTTAAGGCCGTCGCCTGTTCCCTTAATGGAGCCGCTGAACTAGCGATGCCATCGTGTCGTCTACTTGCAAGTCAAGACGGTTGTGACACTTTATTACGGGTTTTTATCATGACTTTATGGTACTGAGAAGGAAGAAAAAGTCTTAATGCTTAGGCATTTGAAACAGACAATGCCTTCAAAACGTTATTTACTTTTTTATCAGACAATCTTCAACCTCACGTTAAGCCCCCACGCATTCGCTCATAACAACGGCCCCAGCAACCGTGTGTTTGGAACACAGCGCCATGTTTTGACATGATCACTTACGGGGTCAATTATTGGCTTTTAAAAAAAGTATTCAAGCGTAGAATATATGTTTTGTTTTAGAATGAAGGTTAATGAGCTTAGAGTTTTCTTCATATTAAGATTTATGAGAGGATTATTTATCTCGCGTTTTTTTAAGTATATTTATCTTCATTTAACTGAAATATAAATTAAACGCGCAATTGCTAACTGGTAAAATATTTATTGCACTCAACAATAAAATGCTGTGCAAGCTTATTGACTTTTAAAATCTATATTTTGTGTTCCTAAACAAGTTTATCGCTTGCGGAGCATAGGAGTTCGGCGGAATAGGATGCCTTGATATTTGTTCTCGGGTGGTCTGGGTGACAGTCACTTAGTTCCGCACTTCTATGTGACGCCGAATAAAAGTTTTCTCTTTTCAGATGTGGTCCGTCACTGTTCTTTCAAGATTACCAGCCATAATATCAAAAGTGCCCGCGAAACTTTCAATAATTTTATTGAACATATCTCCGTGCAATTTCCATCCGGAGGCTGAGAATTCTCAATTTTTCGTATTATCGTAGAGCTTTAAACACATCCCAGGCGATCTGATGCATCCTCATCCAAGCCTGTTGCTGCGCACGATGTTTGTGCTGAAGGCATGCCAATGCAGGCGCTGTGGTATCAGCCACAATAATTCACAGCATTGTTGCGCTGACCAGTTGCAAAGTAAAGTGCATTTCATAAGTAAGTGCCGTGTTTCTTAATAATCGCGAGCCTTTTACCGTCAGTTGTTTGACAAAACCAGCAGCTAAATGCGTTTCTGACTAATCTTTTAAGGTTTTCTATTCCCCGAAGCAACGTTTATCAGTGTACATCCTCCTTCCAACTTTGTCGCCTTGATGGAACGTGACCCCGGTGCAAAACCTGTCTGTCATTTACAAGCCTTAACATCTTCACTCGGCGTCGGCTTCGTATTTCAATACAAGGTGACCTAGCCGAGCAAACGAACTGTCGAAATAGCCTTGTTTCACACATTAGTCACTGGGTTTTGTCATTTGAAAGAAAGTGCCAACACTCGTCAACGTGAAACTAAAAGTCAAGAAATTTCCTTCGGGAATCACTTACGCATAAGAACCCTCATCTTCTCGGTAGATTTCTATGCATGTCGGAGATTGTTGCGCCCTACGAGCTAGAGGCTGCGGTGGAACCTCTGCGTACCGTACTCGTCCTCAGCAACTAGGCCATTTTAATGCGAAAGCATTAAATGTCCCATGGAGCAAGTTGACGTCATCAGTTTGAAGCTCGAAAACGGCACCTAGTTTCCGTGATTTCACCTTCGGTTCCATTGGCTGGCGCGCGTCGACGGGGCTCCCATTGGCCGCTGCGCTCGTCAGTTTCCACGACCGCTCACCCCATGGCGCTGTGTATCCATCAGCGCGCCGTTAACACGCAGTGTCCAAGGTCACTAGGGGAGTACGCGCTGACCGGCAACGAAAGGTCCGCAGCAGACAAAAAAGGGAGCGGACGAGTGGCTTGCATGCTTTCGCGTTCACGACTCATAATAAGTTTTTAGGTGTACCTCGAGCTTTTTATTTTTTTGCCGTTTTCTTCTCTAGCTTGAAGGTGCGCCACCCTTTTTTCAAAACAACGTGTCACTTCCTCTGAAACAGTATAAGCGGAGAAATACAACTGTGCGGTTCACCTGAATCGCTCAGCGTTCAATGAACTCCCCCGCCATGTAAGACTCTGACCCAGAAGGGCCCATACCGGAGGAAGGGCCGCTGCGTTTCTTCTCTAAGGCCAGAGTTGGCATTTTATGTCTCTGTTTTAGCACTGATCGAATTGGAAGCACCGAACTTGTAGGAATTCTTTCGTGAGCTAAGTTAGGAAGCACACCCCTTCCTCGCGGGGACCCTTTCTGTTTGCCTCCCTCACTGGCAGATTGGCCGGACGCTGACTCGATGCAAATCAAGCATCGCTTGTACTGCGCGATAATTTTTTTCTTAGCTTGGATTGCAGCGATATCTACGACCACAAGGTCTTACAGGTCTTTGGGAGGCGCTGATATTGTTTGATAGAACGTGCAGTGAAAGCAGCGACCGAAGCAACGAGCTTGAACTCGCAGTTCTCACTGCGGTCCACGGTAACCATTGAATTGAGCGCCAGGTCAACATATACTTACCGCGGGCCTGTAGGCTTGTCCATAATGATGTCAATTTCACGTGATACGCACATTTCTCTGGTCCGCGGACTTGGTTCCTACGATTAATCCACCGTATGAATTCATCTGAAAATTTCACTTTTTATAGATATAATTTACGTTTCCTCGACGGCACGCGACTGGTATGAATTGATTGACATAAGACGAAAAGTAAAATAAACGACTTCAATTCATATAAAAGGGAAATGAAACTTTAGGATCGGTGCACATTACGCGTTTTCATGGGCTCAGTACGTATGTTGTCCGAACCTTCGCAGTTTTATGAACCCCCCAAAAACAGCTGCTCAGCCTAAAAAAAATCTCACTATGTAAAAAAAAAATAATTACATTGACGTCATCACCGTGACTGTAGTTTGTTTATTTCCCTTGCGTTCCAGAGATGAGTCGAGGTAAGTCTACGGAGTTTTTACGCAGCAAGCTTTAACTGTATATGGTATGTTCGCTTGCTTGCGCTGGCTTCCGCTGATTGAACGCTGCCTGCCCAGTTGCGAAGAACTTTCTTCGTCGCTTTTTACTTTTACCGAACACTAGGCACTCGAACTTGCCTCAATAGTGTGTCGTGTCTTGTTCGTATGGATGTGCCTGCATATCAACGTCTATGGGAGCAGGGTCGTTATTGAGTGCATTCGCCGCACTTCCGCGGCAGCCTAGAAATAGGACTGAGTGATCTTCGCTCGTCTGACGTGTGGGCTATGTGAAATGACGGATCGTGGTCCGTAAGACATGGTATAATCGGTAGCACAAAGTCCGATGATAAAAACATGCCGGCAGGAATGTTTCTTTCTTTTGATTGCTGTACGATTGAGACTTTCTTCTTTCCCGTGTTTGCCCACATTTGTGCGATATGCTGTCCAAATGTGAAGACGAATGTTGACGGAGTGCTTCTTCATCGAACTCTTTTTCGGTGGAATGGACGTAGGAGGCTCATAGAGATTACCTGAAATTACGACCTATTTCTTTCAGAAATATTTTGGCGTGTGTAAAATAGATATGCAAAAAAGGGCGATTAAAAATTGTAGCACTATTTCTATATTAGTCTGTAATACCGTCGTAATATATGATTTGCTGATATTTCAAATTTGAGTTTTCCTGTTGCAATAATTTTATTGTATTTGGTCAGTCAGCAAAACACCAAGGCACGTGTGTCACACGAACTTTTTTTTAGAATCGTTTGTATGTATTTTTATACCAATTAGACACGTTTAGTTTTGTTTTTAAGACGTCTGCCATGAAACGTTTGATCTAGTTTGAAGGTATGCAAGCGAGTCACGCATGCATGGTCATAGATGCCGCTGCACTGTCTGATGTAAAGACTCTGTGTTGTCCGTCGCTTTGTCTTGCTGTATTAGTTATTTTTACCAGTCGATGTTTTTGTTTGCAAGACATGTTGTTACTTGTAACCACTGTCATGTTACTGCAAGCATTTGAGTGAAAGATATATTATAGGAGTACACTTCCAGAGAGTACGCGTTAATCAATATTAGGCTACTCCATGAACCTAATCTTGAGATATAACGATATAGTCTCGGTCAAAGTTTTCCGGTAACGCTCTCACCTGGCAAAATCTTCGGCTTTACAGTATCACTCATTCTCCTGCGAGAGCATGAGTGATACATTGCAATTGACTTATATCATGAACTTCAATGTAGTATGCCCTCATTTATTTGGTTATGGTCGTGTTGAGATTGCTATAAAGCTGAAGCTAGCAACAGCCAAGGCTGCAATCGTTTTAAGTATGGCAATCAGAATAATTGATGCCCTCGTGCTCTACCTTGCAGTTGTTGGATGGATAACGTCGAGGGCTACAACTGGATCACCCTGGCTCCTGGTCTCTTTTGCCTTTTTGTAAGGTCCTTCTATGCACTTGCGTCATATAAAAAAGTGCACATGTATTAAAAATTTTGTTGCAAAAAAAAAATTGGTTTGAACGTTAGAAACTTTCAAGGACAGCTAGGCATATTGTACCGCAGAGATTCTAAGATTAGAAAGTAGAAAGCACGAAGGCACTTTGTAAGCTTTTCGTTCTATAGCGTTGTCCTTGTTGATAATCGCGGCACTACTAAAGCAGAACTGCAAAACTCCAGTACGTCTACTTTCCTGGCAAGCATTTGGCAGGAAACATCTTGTTCAAGATGAAAGTAAAGGCTGTTTTTTTTTTGTTTTTTTTAAAGTATGAACATACCTAGTTTTGGCCTTGTCATTTGCAGAGCTCTCTCCGTAGCTTGCAGCTATTGGCTCTTTCAAGCACACTTTGCGGAAGCTAGACATACCAGTAGCGCGATTATCTTAAAAAATAGGTATTTTGACACTTTCGTAGAAGGTTTTTTTCAACGTCATTGGAATTTGGAAGTGTCAAATAAGGCGTGGAAGCAGAACTTTTCGATTGCTCGAATATCCCTGAAACAAAACTCGTCTTTCAAATGAATCTTTCCGACGAATGGCTTGAGTTGTGTCAACGGACGACCAACAAGTGGACGAAAGAGAGGTTTCTCTTTTCTCTGTTTGGTTTTCTTTTGCTCTTCGGCTTTTACTTAACGTAATATATAATCTGCTACTAAAATCTAGTCATAGGAAGGAACGCGCGTTTCTCTGCCATGTGAAAGGCAATCTGTGCTAGCACGAAGAGCAATTTCCTAGAATATTGCCGCGATTGACGGGGATATTGCCGATTTTTTTTCCTCCAGGCCAATTTCCTCTTCCTGTGCAACATCATCAGAGTTCTGGTCACCAAACTCCGAAGCACCCACGCCAACGAACCGAGCCAATTTCGGTAAAGCCGGCTGACACTAATTTGTGCTTTTATATCGAGAGTTGGAGACTTTGTGAAACGCGAAAAATTGAATGACATTGGAATACAGCAAAACACGATGGAGTTCACTACAACGTCGAACATTCATTTGCCCTAATCTGAAGCAATGCTTCCTTCACAATACTAAATATGTCAACAATGGGTGCTATAATATCGAGAATGGTAGATTTTTACACATTGATCCAGCCGTAGTTTCTGTTTTACATGTTATCTATTCAAATATTTTCTGAATTTTGTTTTGAGTGGATAACGTGCATTTTTTGTTTTCGATTCATTTATAAGAGTATCGTAAGTTGTTGCGATACGTTCCTGCACGCCTGCAGGCAGTCATAGCTCGCTGTCGAGGTTTTGAATTTAGGAATGACTCCAGTGTGTCCCACTTTTGTCGAGAGCGTGCACTTCAGACTTTTTTTTTAAATTTAGTCTGTGACAACTATGAAGTGTGAGCTTCCGTTTAGAGTTTTCTTTTTTAATTGTCACCATTTTAAAAATTCGAGGTATAATTTGGGATGTTTTTAAGAGTGCCAATATTGTTGTGTGTTTTATACAGTCATAAAAATATATCGAAAAAACGCGTGGTCGAGAGAAAAAAGTACCGCGGTCTCCGCGTCGATAGAATGAACTACAAATTGTCGGAAACTCAAACTCTGACAAAAAGCAGCAGCACTCGCGGCTGAATCCAGATTTCAAAGTTTCAAGACTCCAAAAGTTTTCAAAGGTTTCGCGAGCAAGTAGACGCACCAGATTTCTTGAAGTGATACATTTTCGGCAACCTTATTGCGCTTTCAGGAAAGCGGTGCGCGCGGTGCTGGTCCTGTTTCCCCTGTTCGGGATGCACTTCCTCATGACCGTGTACAGAAGTCCGGCAAACTGCGGGGCTTGGGAGGTGTACCAGTACATCAGCAAAGCCTCGGACGGCCTGCAGGTAGTGCCATGGGTCTTTTTCCCATTGCTTCTTTTATCCTGACTGCACTAAGTTCATTTGCAGCTCTAAAACGCAGGGCTGCGCTTATTTGCTACGGGCTTCTCGTGCCGTAATTTACACTTCGGTCGGCCAATGCCAGAATCTCAGTGACTGCGGAGCCATAACAAGACGCTACGGAGTCTGGAGTCGCCGCTCTCTGCATTCCTTTACTTACCAATGTCTAACGGTTTAAACGCGGCTGATGTAAATGGCAGCAGTTTATAACGCCGACATCGTTTCCCTTTGAATGTAAAATGACAAAACTATTTTTAGTTGGTAAATCTAGCTATGTGTTGTTGGATAACGCAACCTAGAACAACATACGTAACAAGGCTGTACTGATAGATTTTTTTTTATATGTTACCTATGCGGAGCGCAAGTTCGTACGCTTCTCGCACAGGTGTTGTGATAGTGTCAGAAAGCCAAGCTTTGATTGGCTGATTGAAAAAAATAATAATGGGTAGACCTTAAGGCATCAAGCGTTGAGGTCTACCAACTTTCTTTTCCATTGAAGCCATTCATAGCTTGGCTTCGTTTTGACGTCACCGCAACTCCTTCGCAAAAAGGAGGCGAACTTGGGTCCGCATTGGCGTACAGCGCGGGGCTCGATACGTGTACGGCATCAGCGTTCGAATAGGGCACGTATTCTCACTGGTTGAACACGAGCTCGAGCGAAGCGCTGACCCGGCACTCTGGTTGAAATGGTGGTCCGTGGTAGCCTCCAGTAAATTCACGCGACCCGGGCAAAGCAGCGCCATTGCCTTCCCTTCCGGCTAGGCGGACACAGAAAGATGCTAACATGCAGACGACAAAACCTCGCGAGGTGATTGGCTGATCGAACTCGGTTGCCATGACATATTCGCCATTTCGGTCCATTAAAATGTTCAAAGTTTGGAAAGGGTCGTTCTGAACTAGTCGCGCCAAGATCCTAATGGAGCATCGTCGTACTGGAAGCGTTCCCCTCCAATATAAGCGTCTTTGGTATCGTACACGCGACGCAATTTTTAATCGTACCGATCTCCACAGATATTTTACAATGATATTGTTGTTATTTCGTATTTAAAAAAAAAAGACTTTTCAATGCCGCGAGGCTGCGACGCCTTATTTGTGGTGGTAGTACGAAGAAGTGAGCTTGTTTCGCCGGTTTGTGGATAACAATGTCTCGGTATTGAGGAAATGTCTTTATAGAGAAACCTCTGACAGGGAATTTTCATCGGCTCACCAAGGATGGAGATGCCAAAAAGAAACTGCTCCTTCAATGAACCAAAATGGCGACTATACGGGGAGCTTGGTGCTACTTTCCCAGAATGGGTGAAGTTAGTCTCCAGTAGGTGCCATAGAAACTTGAGCACGGATAGGAGGTGTTGCTATGGGTCGCCCGATGCGCCCATTTTTACTATATCATTGATTTCCCCAGGCGCTAACCCTCGTGGCTACCGCATTCGAAGACAGGTTTCCCTTTGTGTGACGAGATCGTTGGTCCAAATCTACCAATCATCTCGGGTGCGAAGCACTGCCAGCGGGGGAAGTGAACTATCTTAAAGGCTTCCCAACTATCACACGATAAGGTTGCTCATTTGCGTCGTGTAGACAATTAGAACATAAGGACCCGATTCGCCTTCCGGATCTAATTCACAAACCCAAAGAAGCCCTGTCATCTTATAACAGAAAATCTACCACTAAGGAGAGGCAAGTGGACACGAGCAATGTTTTACTGTGTTGTTAAAAAATACAACTCTGGGAGGCTTTAAGAGGTATATAGTTTCTGACAGGGCGAAAACAGCAGGGAGGTTGTTTAGTTGGCCGCTCCAGCGCGACCTTTCTACCTCAGATAACACTTTAGCGTCTCGTCACCTTCGAGCATGCGTCCGCAGCCGAAGCACGGCGAAAGGAAATGGGAGCGTGATGGAGGCTGACCACCACAAAGATACGCCGTGCTGTTCCCATCCTGTCACTGACTGTAGAAAGTAAATTATTTCTTACTCCTGTATCTACAACCAATTGAGCAAGGGTGACAACAGATATACATGGACGGATCATGCAACCTAATTAATATACAAAATTTTAATATGTTCCTAGAAATGCTATATTTGACAATTCTCTGGTGACGTTATTCGAAAAACGGATAAAGGAGATTTTTTCTCTTTTTTTTTTAATATTCCAATCTTTTAGTTAGCTCTCTCCATAACGGGAACAAGCATCAAGCGAGGTCAGACACCTTTTTCAATATCTATATAAATTTTTAGTTTGTTATTTAGTACGTTCTAGCAGTATTTTTTATTTTCCTGTGTTCTTTTAAAACGTGTCCCATTATTACTTATCAGATGGTAATGTTTATAAAAGTATCAGATTCAAGGCTCAATTTCAAAATGAAAAGCCGCGCGGTTTGCCGCATTAGGTCACATACAGGTTAAGCGCGCCATCTCTGTGTAGTCGCGTCAACCACACGTGTGGGAGCGAGAAAAGGCTCCAGATACAAATAAAAAATATATATAGTTAGCCGTCCGATTTTTTTTTTTTTTTTTTTTACATTTTGTTAGGAAAGGTGAAGCTACAATGCACGTTTTTTTTTTTTATGCTAGAGCTCGGCTGATGCAACTGCATTTCCTAGAGCAACTTGTTTTTTGCGATCGTGCAAAGTCGGCATGGGTTCTCGGATGTCTATCTTTCCGGTATTAAATACGATAATGTCCCTCCTGGGCTCTATTTATTTATTAAGAATCCACTAAAATGTTTTTTGTAATATATTGTGTGATAGGTGTCAGTTAAGATCTGTATCTAGTTCCAGATTAAAATATTGTTTACTGAGCTCATGCAAAAATATTCGCTCGGACTCTTTTTCCTCGCGTTCTATTATTTTTTGTCTGGACCCATTGAGATTACGATAGTTATCATTATGCAATCATATCTTGTTATTATTAGCCCGTTAATATGAATGCCCCGCTATATGAGCACCATTTTCCGGGACAACCTGGGAAAATACATGCATTTTTGTCTCGTTAATACGGACAACTCGCTTTATGGACGACTTTTTGGGGGAACGGAGGCATCCATATTAACGAGACATTAGTATCTAGTTTTGAGCACGTTTGCACTGCATTTTGAAATACGCAAAATGTTAATGGTGCAAAAGGCGTAATAATGAAATTTCGCTTCGAAACCAGCGAACTATATTTTTCCTCGCTTTTCGCCGTGTACACAAAGTGATATGTCCGCCCGACTCCTTCGGATGAATAGATCGATAGATATCGACCGTATTCTTTATACCGGGCGGTAGCTTACCCCACCTAGCCCCGGCGGGCCGTCGCGGTTCGTCTTCATCGCGCTCCACTCTTCGGCGTCGCGCGTCGTAACGGCAACGAGTGCCCGCGCCCGGTCGCGTTGATTGACGCTCGCTGCCGAACGGGGAGACTTTACTCCAGCCTCATGCGCAACGCGACGTAGCGTAGAGTAGCCCGGCGCGCGTCGGCGAAGCGGCGTAGCACACGACGCAAAAGCAAAGCGCACACCCCGCACACCGACGACGGTGGCTTCCACAGAAGCCCTCGCTCAAGTGCCCCATTCGGGAATGTGGATGTCGGGTCGTCCGGACCAGTCGGAGAGTGTGAGCCGTTCGTTTCTGCGATCTGAACCTGCCGTTCTTGCCATGTGTCGTGGGTTGTTCTCGTGTTCCTGTGTTGGTGTGCATATTTAACGTTCGCGCGATCGACTGGGCGAGTTTGTGCGTGGACGTGGATTGCTCCGAGGATGCGCTACTCCCGCGACGCCTCGTATAGGCCTAACGCACCGGACTCGCATGGACGTTGTGCAGGCAAAAGCTGGAAGCTCGAAGACGCAGGCCGTTCCCGATCGAAACAACGATCGCCGTCAAATCTACGGGTACGGCGGGCCCAGTGCCACATCTGCTATTTAGCCAGCTACAAATATTCAACTGGGCTGTCTCAGTTTGTAGACAATAGTAGCGGTTATGAAAATGGGACTAAATGCTGTATTGTTTGTAAGGGCTCTGTAAGGCGCGTTAGAATTTCGAAAACAATACATAGCGTAATTTAGGCATCGTACGCAGTCTTCCGTGCTAGTTTCTTTAGTGGAAGTGAAAGGCTAGATATGATGGTAGCACACTGGCATCTGTCAGAAAGAGGGCGCTGCGGAATATCGATTGCACCGCTTTCATCAAAGTATTCCGGCGGATTCCCCGGAGTCGATTTGACATGACTCCGCCGAACCTGGCAAGCTGCTAGCTTTAACGGACGCGAGGTTGTGATTTTTTTCCCGTCGACATTTGCCTAGCATTTCGCAGAAAGTAAAAGGGGGGGGGGGGGGGGGGGGTGCACACGTTATCCTTATCATTTTTTATTTTTTTATTTTCGAACCGCTAATTACTGCCCCAAATCGCTGCTTCGAAGCAAGATCACGCCACAAACGAACCGCACACGCCGCTCGCATAAGATTTGTACCCACCAGGAAATGAAAATACGCTGCGCGAGACCAGGCCGATTCCGTGTCGTTTTGCGCTGGCTCACGTGGCGTTCGACAAACTTGAAGTGTAAGCAGCCTTGTCCGCCGAAGGATTTCGAAATCTAACGGCGTCAGGTTGTGAATGTCCATCACGTGCACGCGCAAGCAGCTGCTGAAACATAGTTCTTCCGAGGCAGTGGCAGCTTGAGGCTACTTGGGATCCGAAACCACTCCGGTGATCCGTCCGCAGGCTCGCATCTTCGTCGACCGCTTTACTCGAAGAATTCGCTCTGAGAACGGCTACTCCGAGACCTTTTAACTTTTTTTTTTTTTTTTTTTTTTTTTTTAACAGAGTAAGAGGCCACGCACGACTGAAATTTCTAGATTTGTGGGATGCTTTCAGCGCGTAGATCGCGCTACCACCATAAAATGACAATCTCAGAAACAACTTCAGTGCACCTTTGAATGATGAAATTGAAATATGTTACATTTACAAAAATAAAGTTTGGAATCTCCTCCTTCCCAGAAGCACATCACTCTTAAATATAGTCCCCACCAGTAGGGATGCACCTCCGCCATGTCGGCACTAGTCTATCGTCGCGCGGAAGTAGCTATCGCAGCGTAATGCACCAAGTATGAAACATGTAATCGCAACTCTAGAGGAGGTGACCTCGTCTACCGTCAAATGGGTGACTCAAAAACGGGGATCTCTCGCTTGTCGAAATGTGCTGCTAAATCTTGCCTGGCCTGGCGGTGAAAATGTGAAAGCGTGCAACGGTGATTAGTTGCGCACAGTTGGAGCCGACAGTTGGGTCACTTAAAGAATGAGACGTTTACAATTAAATTTCTCTGTAATGCTGAATTAGAGCGCAGCTCTTGAGGAGGAGGAGAAAAGGGTAGGGAGGGGAGGGAAGGGCATGGAGGAAAATTCACCCGCTAAATTCAGCAGAGAAATTTCCCCACTAAATTTGGCGGAAAAATTTTCCCACTACTTTTAGCGGGGACCTTTCCCCGCTAAATTTGGCGGAAAAAATTCCCCGCTAAATTTAGCTGAAAAAAATTTCTCGCTAAATTTGTCGAAAAAATTTCCCCGATAAATTTAGCAAAAAAATGCCCCCCTAAATTTAGCGAGAAGAGCTTCCGCAAAATTCGGTCGCTGTGTGAGGTCCCGAGGATGACGTCACACGTGACGTCACTCGGGACCCTCATGACGTCACGTGTGACGTCATTACGGGAAACGCCCCATAATGCAACGCGCGGTTACGCCGACGGTGACGCTGCTCAATCGGGAAACGGGCGCCTCAGACTGCGCTCTAAAAAAAATGAACTTACTTTATTAAATCCCCTTGCGTCCACCACGTGTATAATTATCGTTGACACGCGACATTCGGTAATGCGCTAATCGATCGTGACACCGTCATTTCCTTCGAATGATTCTAGGGCGTGGCATACCGCTCTGGTGCTTGACTCAGTCCCTAGCTATTTTAGCAAGGAACGGGATTTATTTATAACAACCCGTGCTTCTTTCGTCAGGCCCATCAGTGAATATCGTTGCCAATATCTGCAACAGCATGGCTTGTGACCACCGCTCCCTATAGTCACTTACAAGATGAGAACGGCAGGGAGGGGCTTCAGTTGTCCCGCCTCCAGCCCGATGTTCGTACCATCCACAACGCTTCGGCATGGTGGAAGGTGCATTGGCACAGCTAACAACGTCTTTCGTGAATATCAAACATATAGGCCATTAGGACTGCTGCCTTTGTACTGGTGTTCTAAAAATATAAAGTCGTGTTGAAAAAAGAAAAAAAACTTGTTGTTTTTTTAGTGACATTGCACCAACTTAGGTGTTAAAAATATCCTTTCATCATTTTGATTTGATTTGATTAATACATAGTATTTTAAAATAGATGTCTATAATATTTTCGCTGAAAAAATCCCAAAGAGTGTGTCCCTGCAACGTATTTTCCGCCAGCTATTGCTCAACTTTATAAGGAAAAAATAGTAAAATGTGTGAGCTTTGAAGCAGGCTGATATGGATGTTCTGTTTCAATGTTTTGTGTGAGTGATTCGCTTCTATAATTGTATTTGCTTTGCCTTTTTTTTTTGCAGGGATTCTTTGTAGCTGTTATATTCTGCTATCTCAATGGAGAGGTAAGTTTCATCCTACAACTTATCACAGTAAGGCAAATGATTAATCTATCGCCTGAGTGAAAATGATAGATTTGGTTGTGTCATTACGTACCCCCAAGTTCGGTCGCACTATTCGATGATTTGCAAAATCCTCGTGTAACGCGTAGCAGTTGAGTCAGGTGGGTGTTTATCCAGGTAGAACGCGAGAGAAGGGCCAATTTCGGCACATCCTGACAGTCCTATGGACCTCATTTGGGCCTAATACGGATTTGCTCCGAGGGGTTAGCTAGTGCCTGAGTAATTGCCTTTGCGGTTTTCCTATTTTCTAACTTTTCTCTGACAAGTTACATAATTGCTTCAGTGCCAGACCTGAGCAAAAAATGCCACGTATGAACAAAAAAAGAAAAGAAGGCAGCAGTGAAGCCTTAATCTGCCACTTGTTTGGCAATTTAAGCCCAAAGGTGCCACATGATAACCGAACAACCGGAAGCAAAGCCAAAATCTGGCACTTGCTTGGCGATTTCGGCCATGAGAAGCCAGACTGCAGCCGAACTACCAATAATGAACCTAACTTTGGCATTTGTTTCGTGAATTAGTGCTAAGATTTTCAACCTCTAGCCAAGGAAGGTGAAGTTCGGCTCTATCTTGGCTTCTTCAGGCACTTTTGTGACCCAAAACAGGACCCTTGTGACCCACAGACAAGCACAAAGTTTTAGCTCAAAGAGCTGTGCTACCTGGGTTATGCAGTGTTTTGTTTATACCTAAACTGCAATAATAAATATACGTGCGTTTTCACTCTTTCTCCAAGTAGACGGAACCGAAACACTGCCATTTGTGGACAAACAAAACAAGAACAGAAGCGTTTAGTTGAGGTCAAAAATGAGTCTAGCGCTGTAACAGTCTACATAGGAAACCAGGGAAAAGTCACGCACAGTGTCAAAACAGAAAACGCAGAGTTGTTAAAAAAAAATTTAGTTCCTTCATGGCCGGAATCAATGCGTAGATTGCAGTGATTGGCTGGGTAGTGATCACGTTTATGTTGCTGCGAATTTTGTTGTTAGAGCACTGCGGTGTTTTTGTTTGTCTGCTTTTACGCACGCATGAACACTCCGGCCTTGTCGTTTGCAAGCCCCCTGCATGGCATTTTTAATATCACACTGATTTTTTTTCGCATTCGTTTTGTTGTATGTTTGTGGTTCCCGTTCTAAAAGTCCAGTTTCTCTAAGGTTTTCTTTTTAACTCCATAAAGCGGTATTCACAAAACGGAGAAATCCCAGGAATTCCTCCAGGGAGCGCGCATCACGTAAAAGAGCTTCACGCTTTTTCGATGCGGCGCAGTGAACTCCGCGGGCCCCAGGGGGAGTGGGAGATGCTCAGGCGGCACAAACAATCACTGTTTGGCGACAAATTGGCTTGATTATAAAGGTAATTTGACGTCAAAAACTTTGGTACCAAGTGTAGAAACCCTCAGAATTATTTGCGGTGGTGTCAAGGATGGTGTGCGGTGGTGTCAGATTCCACTAAGTTTGACAGATGACGCCGACTTCCCAGCCCCTGGCACCTTGTCCATGTGAACGACGAAGTTGAGAAGTTACGCTTTCTGATCATGTCACCGACATCCCTCCGCGGAATTTTCCCCCGTGTGAATACCGCTTAACGTGCATAAAGACTCTGAAGTCTTGGATGCACTCGTTGATTTTATGCAAGTTACGGAGCCATAGCATAAACTTAAACACATCATGGCATTTGTCTGAAGAGCGGAAAGGGATTTGTATTTACATTAGAGCATATTAAATAATAACTGTTATAGTGTACAGCGTGGCCGTGTATACTTGTCAGTCCGGTGAATATTCCATCGCCGAAGCTTCTGTTTTAGCCCTAATGACTTGATCGTTGAATAATAATTAACTCTGTCATTTAAATGTACCTCACAGTTTATCATAGGTAATTAACAATTTATATTTCTTTTTTTAGTTAATAACACACTATTGTCGCCGTCATGCCTTGTAGTTTTCGAAAACATTGGTGCGATTGTGCGTTCCAGGTAAGGTAAAATATATGGTCGTAGTTCATTGCACTTCGCATATAAGCAAACCCAGGTGCATGTTCTTTACTATTTTTGTTATCATCTGAAGTAACTAGATCTCGGCACAGTGTTTAACTAGGCTCATTATATTATGAGCTTCCCTCTTATTGCCAAAACAGCGTTGCGTATTTATCCGCAACATAAACTAAATTTCGGTACCTTAAAAAAAATCGGCACGTAGCAGGTCACACTGCCTCAGCAGCATAACTGCACCGTGGCGCCGTGCGCGACAAGCAGCGTGGCTGCGGTCGACATTCCACGATTAGCAGAGAGCTTACTAGAGCGTCTCTAATAAGATATATCCGGCTTTCATCGACGGCAGGGAAGACATTGTCCAAGAAGTCAAGTTCCACTGTCCTGCAGTTGAGCATGTAATGACTACAAGCTTTCGACGTATCATTAACACACACTATTGAACTTGTTAGCAGCTGATGACACGCAGCCAAGATCTGAACGCGTGACATCAAGGTGGGAAACTCGTAGTCGTGATCTCAAGAATAGGAGCTATAATGGGGCGTCGTTAGCAGCTGATGACACGCAGCCAAGATCTCAACGCGTGACATCAAGGTGGGGAAACTCGTAGTCGTGATTTCAAGAATAGGAGCTACAATGGGGCGTCGCCGAAATATCTTGCCGCTGATAGGCGTCAGGAGTGGGCGCTACTTCGTATGCCTTAGCAGTGCCATGCACAGCGAGAAAAATGACCTCCATCTTCCTTCATTTTAAAGCTACATCGTTGTCCTCTCGATTAGTAGGATCAATGCCTTTGCGACCTCTCTTGACGATACCGTACTTTTCGCACTGTCCGTAAGCCGCGGTGAGATATGTCGTTCGCGAGTGCCGTCTGTACAACGAAAATAATGTATAAGGCCAGTGTCGGAAACGCATGCACGGTAACGTTCGTTATCCTGTTAACCGTGTGTCTGAGAAATGGAATTGTCTCTTACCCACGACGAAAGAATGAAGAGTAAAATGTTGGGCGATAAGTATACGCGGGTCGTAAGTGCTTGAGGGCTACCACATAGATAGCGCCAGTGTGCCAGTGTGTTGTCTCGACGTTAGCGGTCACAAACAGTTGCAACGCAGTCCAGCACACTCGTAAGCGAATGTGTAGACCAGCCTTAATGAGTCGCAGAATCGCAAAGCGAGAGCATGGCTATGCGCATGGCGGTCACTATACCAGAAGTCGTTCGCCCCCTTCCCCTATTTTGTTCTTCTCCGTCCCCTTCCCCCATGGCAGATTCAGGGACAAATCACTCGGTCCATCGAACTCGCCAAATTGGAGTCGTCGCTGGCGAGGGCCAGTGACCGACGGCGCTCGACGCGTACCCAAGTCCTCGCTTCCTGAGGCAGCGCGTTCGTTGCTGGCCGCGTACACGGACGGGCCCCTTGTCCGTGTCTGTGCCACGTCCTGTGAGTGCATCTGCGGCCCAGCGCTGTCTCTGCTTGCTTCCTGGCTGGAGTTTGCTCGCATGCATGTGTGCTTGCTTGGACGCCTGTCTCTTGTTATGTCTGGCTGCATGCATGAATGGCATTCGATTTTCTAGGCCATACGGCGCGCAGGTCAACCCAAACGCGTCCTTCCAGCATGAGAGGAGGAGTTGGCCTCAGAGAGGAGGTACGGTGACGCATGCAGCGAAACTCCGCCCTCACAGCTGTTTGCTCCTCGATGTCTGGGTAGCAGGCGACATTTCGGCTGTGGATTTCTCGTTCTTCTTAATTGTTAGTCGCTGGCTATTGTTAGTCGACAAAACAGCGTACCCTTCGAGATATTTCCTTTTCTCTTTCTTAAAGGCTATGTCCTCGTTCGTTAATAACTACTGGATTTCCAAAACACGTAGAAAAGATAATACAGCCATGACCAGAAACCGCATGTGACACCCGCGTTCGGCGCCTGGACGCCTCACCTTGCGACCACTGCTCCTTCTCTGCAAGGAGTAGACGACGATATTGCTCACTCTGATTGAATAGGTAAAGCGGGCAGAGACAACAAAATGCAGCACTCACTGCGAAGCATGTGCGGTGCTCCTGTGTTTTTTGCTATACTGTATGAAGCAGAGCTAAAGGGCAACGTGAGTTGACGTTTTTGCGTCGCCCTTTCCTTCCAGAATTCAGAATGTGCAAGCCTTCCAGGATTCGAAGATCGTTTGATAATTCTCCGAACCTTTTAACATAACATAAAAATGCACAAGTCTGCAAAACCGGGCTCAGACAGTACGAACTTCGAAGTAGAAATGATGTACATTAAAAAACGAGCGTGTTGGTAAATACTTAAGCAACCGGAAAGAATAAACACAAATCTGGGACGCAAACAGACGATACAACTCTTTCAACTCACAACGACATTTATTTCGTCTCCGTTCAAACGACGGCCATCAAGCAGGTTCTGGGGAGGGAGCAGAGAAGGAAAAAAAGGGGGGGGGGGGTATATGCAGTATTTCATGTACAAAAAAAAAACGGAACAAAAAACAGTAACGCACGCAGACAAGAACTTTGAGAGCCGATCGATTCTTCGAGCTAATAAGGCTAAAAGGGCGCTTCAAATGTTCTTGAGACTTCACGGCGCTGGGGGAACAAAGTAATTTTCTTACCATATTTGCTTGGAAGGCCTGTTAGCTTCGCTTCATAAGATTTTGCCTCGGTTCGCCTCAAGGGTTTATTTTCCCCAGTTAGAAGTGTTATGTAATCGGTGCTTCACCACCTTATAAGTATATATATTTTAAACTTTCTGGTCTACGCTGTCTGCCTTAATTGCTCTTGCTTAACAGGAGAGGATTTAAAAGTAAACATTTAGTCAAAATAAACAAACGGATGCTCTGTGAGCTCGGAAACCAACCATGGACATCCGTAGACTAGGGCGCGAAATATCCGCGCGCACATTGGAAAGCGTCAGGAATCACAGTCCTAACGGAAGTGGCGACGAACAGGTACTAGTTGTACCATTTATGTGAGCATCAGGGTAGCTAGAGAGGATTGGCAGTACGTGCTCGAAACGTTTATGCGTGGTGTATTTGAAAGAGCCGATGTGCAACACGCGCGTCCATCAAACGGTAGAGAGAGTTGTCCCAGTGGCGATCGGTCCATTCATTGTATCTGGTGCCTGGAGCGTATTTCCGACTGGTGTGTTTGCCCTGTCCACAAATGTGGTCTCTTTATTTCTGCCCGATGACTTAATGGAAGCATCATAGTAAACTGCCAGCTGTGATCTATGGCGGTGGCACAGCAGTGCAGGTGGATATGGCAGACGTCTGATCTGCTATGGCTGCTGTGGCTCGCTCTTTGTTCCGAAGTCCACGGAAGCTTCTGCAGCAATGAGTTGGGACGACGCCACGACAGCGACATTGGCGCATTCCGATCGTCTTTTAATACGAAAGCATTAACTATCCTATGGAGCGTAGCCGACAGCGTCCGTAACCGCGAAAGAACGCGAAAGAAATGCCCATTCTCCCATTGACTGAGCGAAACGGCTCCTAGGTAGCCACTGGCGGCCTCTTCACGAAAGCGCGCGCTCGGCCGCAGTTCTCGTGTCAGAGCCCTCAGATTGTCGATCTGGCTCGTACTGATCTGCGCGCACACTGTTCTGGATGGCAAAATGGTGGTAGCCGAAACAGCGTGGTTCCCATTTTCTACCTTCCCCGCCATCCTCCTGCTCGGCGGCTGGCAAGTCACCTCATTGTATTGGAGACTGCAGCTTCAGCGGTGCTCGAAAAAAAACTGCGTCGCTAAAGCTTTTCGCGACACCCATCGGACTTCATTAGCCATATCAATTATCTCAACTGCTCGTCATGTTGTGCAGCTTATGTATACCAGTCACTTTAGTAGCCTTTTGAATGCATGGTCCTGGATTTGCGTGCACACAGATACTCTCTGTTTGTGTTCAATAATTGAGACGAAGCTGAACGAGTATTGGGAGCAGTTTGTTATAACCTGGTTTAAGTTACTTCGGTTTATGAACAATGGAGTGTTTTCATGTGCGCTACATCTCGGATAGAACCGAATGAAGTTTTCTATCTACAATATTCTTACCCTCCGCCCTTTCGATTCACCGATTATCTTGATGGCCTGGATGTGCAGCCATATGCGAAGTGTTCTGAACCAGCATTACACAGAATCATCATTGATCAAAGGAAAGTTCGTGTACTGGTCTTTTGAAGTCATCACAGTGGGATCGATTGCAGACACAGATTGAATACAAGTGCTGCGTTAGGGTTCGGCTTGGCATCGTGTATAATCCAAGCGTAGAACTACGCTTGGATTATACACCTCCTCATCGTGCCAGCTACCCCGCCCTCCGAGCGGTGTCGGTATCGCCGTCGCCGTCGGCTGAACCGTGAGGTCACGTGACCCTCGTGAAGGGGGTCACGTGACCTCATGGTTACGCCGATGGCGACGGCGACGCCGCTCAAGCCGGAAACGGGCGCTTAAGTGCTGCGCTCGAAAAAAATACTACAGCAATAAGTGGATTACTCTAGGCATATGGACCCAAGACGCCAGCAAAAGCACAACGCTTAACTTAAACCACAAGGATTTCACTGACATTAGATTTGAATCTGGAATACATAGCATTTGCTTTAACTAACCTTCATCGGATTCCGTTACTTTAGGACCGCATTTGATAATATAGCTTTAATCGAGGCGCCGGTATGTCTGTCTTGTGTCCGCTTCGGGTGTTGACGACCCACTTTGGCGGTAATAATTCTGTTGCGGGAACATGACAAAGGCTTTCGGAACAAAATCCTTCAAACAATCGGCAAACCAGCTCGTGTTCTGGACCATGCGCGTACCAATTAGCGTGTGTTCAATGATTTGCTAAAGCAGTTCGCTCAGAAGTCATTTAACATGTCCGTAAGACCGGGCCATAACACTTTACTTCATTTTTGCCGATCTAGGTGTTGGTTTCAGTTTTTAACTGCTGCCATACTTACAATGTAATGGAACATGGTCGAATAAGAGGTTATTCTTGCATGATCATTACTCTGAAGATTCGTTTCTCGCTTTCAGGTGCTGTACCTGCTGAAACGTTCCTACGGGAGATATCGCCTGCAGCGCGGCTTCTCGAGTCGACGGGGCCAAAGCATGGCGATGACTCGTATGTCAGTCTCGACGCACGTGTCCTCGGTGGGTGACAACTCGAACCCCAACAACGGATCCATCAAGAAGTACGCCTGCTCCCGCAATGGCGACGCGATCCTCGAAGAGCAAGTCTGGAACTGAATACGCCAGAGGCTCAAACAACATCGATGTCGATGGGAATCTTCGAAGCTAAACAATCTGGTGCTGCGGCGCGGAAGGTGCTTTCTTTTCAAGGCTTAAACCAAACAACTCATCTGAATACCTCGGGAAAGCAATCGCACTCAACAGCCTTATAACTGCGAGAAAACAAAACAAAAGGGAAATGATTACATTCAGCGAAATCGAGGGCGTCTTAGAGTAAATCTTGAGGAGGCTTTGTCATGCTTCTGTCACTCGTGTTCTTAGTTTTATTTTCGATATTCTCAGCTGACGTATTCAAAAGTCATTATTTATTCTGGTGAGCATCCTTGTAAACGAAACTTGACTGAGTATGACCATGTTCTGGTTACCCAAAAAGCAGCTCACTTGATAATCTATTTGCTTCCATTGAGTGGACGCCTTTTATATGCTGCAGCTCGCAAGCAACCTGTTCTTCAGTAACATATTCTTGACGACTAAACCTTATTGAAGGAGGTTATAAAACATTTATTATACAAAAAAAAAATCGCATTTTTCGTATCTGTAGTCTCGGTGAGTTGCCTGAAGATTTGCCATTATTCACTAATATAGCTCAATTTAATTTTACTCAAATTCACTCGGGGTTAATCGTAACGTAAAAAAACACCATACTAAACTCCGAACCAAAGTGCAATCAAGAAACTGTATATAGTTATGGAGTAGGATTGCGGTGCATATTGAATAAGAAAGCTTGTTCGGAAGCACTGACAACACAGTTGATACAGGGAAAATAGAACGGCATGCAGGGCTAGGAAAATGATACCTACCAACACAAAAGGTCCGCAGTACGGCTCACAGTCTTTGTTCGAACGAAAGAAAAATGGTAAACGTTCACTTTACGGAAGAATCCCGCCCCGCAGACGGCCGAAACGTATTTCCGACGTGTGTGTTCTGATTGTGTTGTATATGTGTACCCGACACAGTGAGTGACAAAGTGCTTGCCATTTTTGGACGCCAAGCGAGGAACAAGAGGACCAGTCGCAGGATAACACGTCTCATGTGAAGTTGTGTATTTCCATGTTATGTTAGACATCCCATTCCTTCGGCTGTGTTAATAATTTCTGGGACATCAATAGTTTCAAGGTGAAGGCTTTGCGTTTGGAACGACGGAATGCCTTACGTTTTGAACGATGCCTTAGCCTTAGCGGGCATGCCTTTTATTTATGATTTATTGTAAAAAATTGTTTTTGCGTTACTGTCGACAATTGAATTATCTTTATTTGATGTGGTCACCTACGAATATGTGTGTTTGACCGTCTAATCGTACGATCGCGATCGATATCTAACACCATTATGTCCAAAGACTCATGCGCTAGTCGGCTGACAAAACAATAATCTTACTCATTGGTGTGAATGCACATCAGGTTACTTCATAAAGACCACTACACATCGGAACTTGGTCACACTCCCTTATTCGACCACTTTCTATGCCTCTTTTCATGAACTAGTTAATCATTTTAGCGTTAGAAAGATCTACTCATACCGGTTCGTAGCATGATGATAACCTTGTCCTCATCCTCTCGTCTGTGTGTAAAGCTGTACGTAACAAATGATTCTCATCAATATTACTCACAGTCCATTTGTGTTTTTTCTTTGCTAGTTAGGAAGAGACTGATATCCACTCTCAACGTGCTCGTTCCGAAAATGTCTGTTCCTTAACTCACCTGTGTTTTTTTAATAAATCAAGGACGGCTTTGTTGTGTTCTGCATGTAACTAATAAAATAAAATATATCATGTTTACCGAATGAATAAATATGATAGTGTGGCGGATGGAAGGAGACTCGACGAGCGTCAACTGAAAGTAAAGGTTTCATCGGCGAACTTGTGCCAGAAACAAAAGAATGAGCGTCGAAACAGCAGCAGCGAACGTCGCGTCGTCGGCGTGACGGCTGGCTGGAGCGGAACTGCGAGAGTGCGTCGTCGTCGGGAGAGTCTGGGCGCGGTAAGCTCCTTATATACAACACTCGGTATATCGAATATTCCACATAGAATGTTCGCGAGACTGACTCGGCAAGGTCAGGTTGTCCTCCTCATCTGTTACACTAGCGTAAGAAAAAAACTGTTAAACTCAAATCTTTTAGAAGTACGGAGAAGCGTTCTTTCTTGGTCATGCACGCGGCAAGATTACAGTTATTGTTGAAGTTACAAATTGTGCTTAACTCCTCGAAATGAATAAGAAAGTGTGGCTAACGAATGACTGCGTCATTGCACTCAGTCATATTTGCGCCTGTTGTTTACGGGTGATCCCCCTGGGTATGCTATATTCAATTCTTTCCAATCCGCAAAACCAAAAGCAAACGCAATAAATACCTTGTCTGACCAAATTTTTCGAAAACCATTTTGCTTGTTTTCGCTTTGATTTGACTCTTTTGTTTTGTGAGGTATAACAAAGAACACAGATGATCCGTGCGCATGTGCTGCTTTTATACAAAACGCGTGAGTAGACTCGCATGCCTTGCTGCCTTGTGCCGAGAAGTCGGGACGAAACAAATTGTGTGAGAAAGCTCATAACTGCTTTCCGCTATTTAGAACTAACCCAGATGAATTTTCCATTCGCGATCGGAAAGATTTTCCTTCGGTTTCGTTTCAGTTGACTTGTCGATTGTGCGACAAGGCGATAATTAAGATCAACTCTGATTCACTTTATTTAATTCTAAGCCTAATTTACCTCTTGTTGGGTTCTAAGCCGTCTTGTGTCCGTTACTAAAAACAAGAAACCAATTAAAATTATGAATGCTTTGTTGAAAAAGTCACTTTTCAGAGTAATCAATTTCTGCATCACAAAAGTATTTGAAGAATTAACAGAAAGTAATTCTTTACTTTTCACGTTACTTTTTTAACTTTTTATTACGTAGCCAAAAGTGCATAGATATGTTCAAAGTAATTACATTTTGTTTCTTTTTTTCAATCATAACTTGTTAAACATTAACAGCAGTTGAAGTTCGATACAAGCACACGCTGTTGAACTCTTTCGTGGTGGAAATGGGAGGGAGGGAGGGAGGGAGGGGGGTGGGGGTCCTCCTCGTGGCTAGATGAGGCCAGTGCAGAACAGTTGTCTATGCCGCGGCAAACCCAGATCGTAAAAGCCTGTACACAGGAAACAAAGCATTCTCGATAGCTCGAAAGTCAAAACGTCGTTGAGCGCGTTGACATTCTAATCCCTGTGTGATCTTAGTATCTTATTTTTTATTTGTTTAGGGGTGCAAAAAAAAAAAAAAAGTGTCGAACATTGGTGCAACATACACGAAAGACGCTCGAACAGACATCGATTTTTTACGTAAAGAATCTGAACTAAATAGTTTTAGCTCTTTTGGAAACATATAATTGATTACAAAAAAAATATTAATTGATTTATAGCAAACGTTACCGCATAAAAGGTAAAGTAATTGAAGCGTTAAAAAAGTTAGAACAAAACGTAATTGATTACAAGTAATCAGTTACTTGTAAGTCGTTACGTACAAGTCTGGTACTAAGTAATAGATCCTGAATCTTGGATAACAAAAAGCGGAGAATGCAATAAAAAAAAACAAAGAAAAGAAGAAACTCAGGTTGCCTATTTTGAGCGCTTTATGTAATAGAAATGGTATGCGCACGGCGTTTATTTTTGAACCATTGGGAAGCACATGAATGCCGTCAAAAGACAAAGTAAAAGTGTCTTCAGTTCGCATTTAACGTTTTCAGACTGATATTGCTCTCACACCGGTATTTCAGCAGACGTCAGAGGAACGAAAATAAAAATTGAGCGGTCCTGTGGTAACTTTCTGTAGAGTCACATCGATAGCTGCGACATGTCTCGGCAAAGTCGTTGACGCACCGTGGGGTGAGTGGGCAAAAGCGCTCTAAACAAAATAAACATTTGTTTTCCCGCGAACACTTATGTTTTATTTCCTATTTCTCCGAACGCTTTTGTTTATTTTTGTTTGGGAGCGCGTGAACGCGCCTGTCCCGGCACGAGCTCTTAGAATTATCAGCACTATGCATTTCGATATCTTTTATTTTCTTATTTTTCTCCAGAAAAAGCTTGCAAAGGGCACCGACTGCTACGAAACTAAATACTGCTGTGTGTATGCTTATACAGCCTGAGGTTAGTCTGCTTCAAAGGGCCTTTTGGCTCTCAGCTGTATAGATGATCAATTTAGCCATTGCAATACAATCCGCTAGCCTAGAGTCTTTAACATGCATCACGCAGTAGTGATACACGACCGCACGCTGGTACGATGCTCGTCCAGATCGAAACGGGCAGGGGTGGGGATCGATCACAGGATCCCTGGGTTATGCAGCGCGAGCTCTCGCTCCCCGTGCTCCAAGGCGGTGTTCGCTAGCCCACTCTGCCATCGATCCCCCTCGGGCACCGCAAAAACCATATATTAAGACGGGGGTAATATAAGTTTGAAGTTTGTTTTGGTTTCTCACGGGCCAAGCCCGGTAGGGAGGTAGAGACAAAAGGCATTTCTGCCTTACTGGGCCCCTGCGACCCCCCCCCCCCCCCCCCCCACACAGTTCATAACAGCACAGCTTGTATTAGTCGCCATATATACATAAAGAAAATAAACAACATATATCTACGAAGCAGAAAACATGAATACCTTTTACACAATATTATAGAAAATATTTTACCAACATAAACTTGGATTGATTTTTCCTACCGCTTTAAGAACATAAACCTAGCCAGATAATGCCACACAAAGATAACTATCATTCATACGTAAGTGATTAGTAATCACGGACGTATAATTACAAAAAACCCAAAGGAGGAAAAATGTCTTGGGTTGCCAAAGGCATGGTAGAACTTTTTAGCCGAGGACAAAAGAAAGAAAGACAAGGCAGACATGAGCGCTGACTGCATCTTATTAAATAGTTGCCGTCACGCCTCGTGTCTGTCTCGTTTTTCTTTCTTTTGTCCTCGTATAAAAAGCGCTACCATGCCTTTGGTAACCCAGGTCCAATAACAACTAGCCCAGCATTCAGCATTGAGGAAAAATGCACAAAAAACATGTACACAAAAAGTTACGCGTATGTAAAAACAGATTTGTCATTGCGACACTGATGGGTGCATAACGAAAGTGTCACTTTCAATTTTTACTACGCGTAATATATCGAGTTGTGTACAAGCGTGCGTCTGTAGTTACTTTTACATCTATTAATTGATACTGCAAAATCAGTACGCCCATCAAGAATGTTTACCAATGTAAGAACCTGTTAAGTTAGTTTTTGTTTTCCATAACTTGTCCTCACCTTAGGCGCCTTGTGCTTGGCGTTTCTGAGAAGATAAGCTTGCGATGGCACTTCAACCATTTGATAAATATTTTCTTTGTATATTGTCTGCATAAGTTCAAAGTAACAAATCTGGTTTGCTTTAGGCATGTTATGTTTTGTAAAATATACACTGCTATAAAAATCACGACCCTTTCCTTGATAGTTTTCTAAAATAAGGAAAACCTGTTTCTGGGGAATAATTAATTTGCTATAATTTGTGGAAGGGGTTCCATTCTATAATTTCACAAAAAATTTTTCAGTAAAACAATGAGTAATATAACTTTTTGATAAACTACTTTTGTAATAAATTTGCGACTTTGTATATACAGCTTACTGTTCTCGATAAGTCCCCTTTTGATTTGTTCACGTGAGTGTTCCAAGTAAGTGTGTCATTAAACCTGACGCCAAGAAACTTTTGTCCTATAACCTGAATAATGGGGAACTATTATATTGCAGATGTATTACACTATTGTCGTGGTTGTTGATAGGTCCAAATATAATGTACCTTGTTTTGTCCACATTTAGTTTAAGGGGACCAAGAACTGACCTTTTTACTTTTGCCAGAAAACTTTTACATTAAACCTTCAACTTTCATTGAATGCCGAACAGGCAACCGTTTTCGTCTCGGTTTATTAACTTCTACACAAAAAATTAATGAAATATCGACTTTTTCTTTCTCTCCGACTGACCGCAAGACAAGTTGAGGCGTAATTTTGACGGTGGTGACGTACTCTGGCACAGGAACCAGAAGTTTTCTCGACAGTAGGAGAATGGGAGCGTTAGCGGCGGCGAGTTGGGGGTGCGCCGGTAGGTTTTACTGCGCTGATGGCGCTGATGTCACCGACGTATTTTTTCAATCGTCGCCTCTCATCGCCGCGATAGCCATGGACACATCGCAGCTGAGCGAAATTTATTGAGATATGTTGGGCTACTGCGACAGCATGGGACAAGTCCCATACGCTGGAATGCCTGTTATAAGAAGTGCGAAGAGTCATCCGGTGAAGACTCCAGAAGTCAACCCAACTGTCATTGTTGGTAAAAGGCGGCCCGTGTCAGTCGTTTGCAAAGCGACGTAGATGGAAACAAAATGCCGCGGCGTTTTTCGCTGCTTCGGAAATGCAGGAGCAAGCCGACGTTAAAAAAGATGCGTTTGAACTACGACAGTGTCAGCAAGAGCCACGTAAATACCTGTTCACACTCGGAGCGGACGCGCGCGTTTCATGGAAGTGCTGTATTCGCGGTGTTGGTAACCGCTTCGGGACCGATCTTTTACGATTGCAACTCGATACTGACGTGACACTCGGCAAAGGAAGGTTGGACCAACATTGCACGTAGCTCCCACGCACTGTTATAGCTCGACAGTGACGTGCAGTCGTGTCAGAATAAAAATGGCATACTAATAACAAAATGTACATACTGTGTTACGAAGGTAATCCATACGGCGTTTATTTGAGCTCTATATCACACAAAACAAGATAGAATCGACGAGAGTTCCTTTTCGACAACAGTGTTCA